AAATCCGCATTCATCTCGCAGGACGTCGCCCCGCGTACGGATCGAAGATACAACATATAACGGCGAAGGACCAACACGTGGTGATCCCGGTCGGAGAGTCAAGGGAAGTGAAGATCGGGATCGGAGGGGCTAAGATGAAGTTGTGGGTCGCTAGAGGACTAGATTGGGTCCCCACTGTGATCTCGGGGTGGGGTAAGACGAAATACCTGCAGATGACCAACATTGGCGACCGGGAGATCATACTGCCCACCCACACTATATTAGGCATGTGGGTCGAAGGCGATATGGTACCGCGAACCCAAGGTTTGGTGACAGTCGGGTCGGGGAAGTACAAGGAATGGCAAACTCTGGCATATGAGGCTACGACGGATCGAGTGAACGAACTCCCGAAAGAACCGATCGGACCATTGGTAGATCGTCCTACGTATGCCGCTCCCAAACGCATCTTGAAACGTCCGTCTGATGCGTTACAGAACCTGTCTCCGGCGATCTCCACGGTAACGCCGCAAGCTAACGATGACGATTCGCAAAAGGCAGATGCTGTAGTTGCGAGGGAAGTAACGGTCAGGGGAGCCGAACTATCGCGGATGGAGAACGGTCATGAGATCGGTACCCAACATGCAACGAAGGGAGACCGCGACACCGGGCAAGAAGGGCTACGTGACAGATCGTCTCTACCGAAGGCTGAGCCGACTGACCGACTGTTGAAATTGGGCCAGCCGGAAGAGACGAAGGAGCCTAAAGAAGAAATAATGCTAAATACTGAAGACGTCGAGATTGCAGAAATACCAGTTTATCACCACGAGAGCGGAGATTTGTTTGCGGAAGATATCGAGCAGCATATGGCCGTGCTACCAGAGATGTCGGCGACTACGGAAGAAGTTACGATTGAGGACATTCAGATCGGTGATCCCGATGTGCCTCTCACCACAGATCAACAACGGCTCAGATCGCTGATCTGGAAGAGCCGTCACCTCCTCATGGGTAAAGGTAATGCTCTACCACCAGCAGCACGAGGCGCGATCTGTGATATTGATGTCGGTGGGGCAGCACCGATAGCGCAAAGAGTGCGTCCGGTCGCACCCAAATATCGGGAGAAGCTGTCAGATCTCATCAAAGGACTATTAGCAGCCAAAATCGTTCAGCCATCCACGTCACCTTGGGCGTCTCCGATAGTGGTGATCATCAAGAAGAACGGAGTGGATATTCGCCTTTGCATTGATTATCGAAGAGTTAACCAGCTGACGCGTCTGATGGTTTATCCCATGCCGTTGATCAGCGATCTGTTGGAAGATCTGGATAAAGCTCTATGGTACTGTTCGCTAGACATGGCTAGTGGATTTTGGGTCGTCGAAATGACTGAACGAGCAAAACTGATCTCAGCGTTTGTCACACCGTTTGGCTTGTTCGAGTGGCTGCGAATGCCTTTTGGGCTTAAGAACGCGCCCCAGATCTACCAACGTCTGGTGGACAATGCGTTGTATGGATATCTCAAGATCGGCCAGAGATCAGCTTCTGATGGCCCGATCGACGTGTTCAAAGATGGAGAACCTGAGACAGATCGACGACCGTCTATACTGGGACGCCGATCTTACATTGACGATATTCTCATACCAGCCACGTCATGGGGATCTTTGTACACAAAAGTAGAACGGTTGCTGGAGGCATGTGATAAGTGGAATCTGTCTATCAGCCTCACGAAGAGCTTTTGGGGGTGCCGTAAGGTCGATTATTTGGGACATCGAGTGTCGATGGATGGTCTGGAGGCTCAGCCCAAGAACCTAGAGTCGTTGGTTAACATCCCGTTTCCTAGCACGCTACGAGCTATGCAATCCTTTCTCGGGAGCTTGAACTACTACCGTCGCTTCATTGAGGATTTCGCGGTGTATGCCGCGGTGTTGTATGAGTTAAGAGAATCGGATTTCTTCGAGATCGGCCGATCTCAGCTTGCAGCAGGAGACGAATGCTCCAACGAGGGTCGATGGACGGAAGCCAAGGTTGCTTTCACTATGCTAAAAGCTAAGATAGCTACAGCTCCCATGCTCAAGCATTTCGACCCAGATCGGTCCCCCGTAATCGTGGTCTACGCTAGCAAGTGGGCTGTCTCAGCGGCCCTGATACAGGAGTACGATGGCGTGTACCATCCGGTGACGTTTACTAGCCGCACTTTAAAGCCTAATGAGCTTAACTACGGAACGGTAGAAAAAGAAGTGCTGGCGCTACTTCGTGTGTTGGATGTATGCTATACTACGCTTGCCTCGCGGGAGATCACTGTACTGACCCGACATTCTACGTTAGCCTGGTTGATGCAGTCTCGAGGGCTCAACGGGAGATTAGGACGGTGGGCTGCTTTGTTGTCAAATTGGACTATGGAGGTGAAGAAATGTGAAAGAGGAGAGGAAGAGATCCTGGGCATGTTAGCAGCGAGTATCACTCCGAGAGGAGAGGTGGAAGAGATGCTGATTGCGATCTCCCCACGAAAAGACTGTCGACTCAAAATATCGATGCCTCCTCCAACGGTGGAAACAGATGAGGAGTTGCTGGTGGCCAGTTTCGATGGATCGGCTAGGATAAAAAAGAAAGGAGGGTCGTTCAGTGCCGTGATATGGAAGTTACCCGAATGGACGATCGTGGCGGCCGAATCGAGATATGTTCACGATCTGACTGTGAATGAAGCTGAGTATAATGGCTTGCTACTGTGCTTTGAGTTACTCGCCGATCTGGATAGGGGGCGAGTAATACTGTGTGGAGATTCCAGTCTGGTGATTCGACAGATGCGCGGTGAGATCGACTGCAAGGCACCGGGCCTTCAGCTTCTGAGACACAAAGCGTTGGAGAAGCTGCAGTCATGGCCTAGTCACGAGTTTCTGCATATGAAGCGAGAGTGGAATCAGAGCGCAGATCGACTAGCCAGCACAGCATTGCAGAGCGAAAAGGGAAGAACGGTTGTAGCTGAAGAGGATCGGCAAGATCTGATGACTCTGAACCGTCTCGATGAATTGTTGAAGCCCAAGCAAGATGGTCAGCTAGCTCGGGTAACTGCGATCGCGAGATCAGCCAGGAGGATACGTCATGAACCTGAAGTGATACAGGAGGAGATAGTACAGAGGATCAGGATTCAACGAATTGTCCAAGCTCAAGATGAAGAGCGTTGGATTGTCAATCTCAAGACATATCTAAGTGGCGATGTATCAAACTTGGATGCGGTAGAAGTGAAGATGTGCGCCAAACTGGCGCCGGAATACGAGATCGATGAGAACAATCTGCTATTTTTTTGCCCCATGGCGAAAAGAGAGTCGGAAGATCGCGATGGTTTGATGCGGTTGGTGATCCCTGAGACGTTGCAGCAGGATTTTTTGCATCACTATCACACGAGTCTGGAAGGAGGCCATCAGGGTATTGGCCGAACCTATCAGAGGATCAGATCGCGATTTCATTGGAGAGGACTGTATCGGAGCGTTCAACGATATGTGGGCGAATGTACCGACTGTGAGACCGGGAAAGGAAACCCGATGATTCATGGGAAATCCCCGGGCAATCTACACGCAACCTATCCATTCCAGATCATCGCCATGGATCATATACCGTCGTTGCCCAAGTCCATCAAGGGGAACACCGAACTGCTCATTTGGGTCGACCTTTTCTCGGGATATGTGATTGCAAAGGCTAGCTCCTCTCGGACGGCACAAACAATAGCGGAGAATTACGAAGAATGTGTGTTTCGACGCTTCGGAGCTAGCGAGGCTATCAGGCACGATCGAGAACCGGGATTTATGTCCGACTTCTTTCGAGCCTTCAGTCGGATCGTAGGACAAAAACAGCGTGCTACTATGGCTTACAGGCCACAAGCAAATGGAACAGCCGAACGAATGGTGCAAACCCTGACACATTCGCTCAAGATGTACGTGGCTGAAGTTGACCAGCGAGACTGGGATGAGTATGCTGAGCGGCTCACATTTGCCATTAACACTGCACAAGATCGGATCCGGGGGATACCCCATTTTATCTGATTCATGGGTGGGACCCGCGATCGACTTTGGAGGCTACGCTACCAGTGGGGAATACGGGGACACGAGATCGCGATCCAAAGAGGTGGAGATACAAAATCCAAAGACAATACCAGCGAGCCCGATCTGCAGTGAACGATCGTTTACAAGCCGCGATCCAGGAGCGAGCGGATCGACACAACGAAGATCTGGAACCACACGAGATCGAAGTAGGAGCGCAAGTTTGGCTATACCTGGACCGAGTTAAAGAGGGATATGCGAAGAAGCTAGCGCACATGTGGCATGGGCCATTCCGAGTTGCGGACGTATGTGGAGATCATGCTGTAAAATTGGAGATCGCTGGAACCCCATATCGGTTATTTCCGATTGTACATATATCGAAGCTAAAAAAGGTAAAGACGTTCCCTGAACGCCCGAAGGATCAGCTTACGATAGAGGAATCAGATCGCTTGGATTTCGATGAAGCTCTGCTGCCAGAAGACAGTTGGGATGGCGATCTTGAAGAAGGGGAATACGAAGTAGAGGCAATATTGGACGTGCGATCTGGTAGAAAAACCCGTTATGGGCGAGTACACCGGCAGTTTCTGGTGAAGTGGAAGGGATATCCCGATCTAAGTTGGGTGGACGAGGCCGATCTAAGTTGTGGGGCGATCTTGCAAGAGTTTGAGCGGAACCGAGTGAGTCGAAACCGTTTCGACGTAATGCAGTCTCATGAAGGCAAGTCGGACGAACCTTAACAGTTCGAACAAGTATGCGGGAGGTAGCATATGCGGATGTAGGGGTTGAAAGATGTGCTAGACGGTAGCACATGCTGGTGGATGAGGTTTTTGTATGTGAGTATGGAGATAGTCAAGTGAATTACCTTCCTGAATGATGTGGAGCGAGGAGGATCGAGATCGTGGAAGTTGCAAAGAATGGAAGTACCAAAAAAGAAGATGATTGAATGACTTACACGATTATGAAAGACGATCGGGCTTGGATATCGATCTTGGACTAAGACGATGGAGCAGGTTTGAACTTGTCCTGCAGACGAGGGATCTGCGATCCGGGATGATCCCAATAGGCGTTACGGAACTGGTTGCGCCAAGGATCCTCTTGGTCTGCCATGTCCAACGCCTCTAGCAAGTCAGCTGGGTCGTTAGAGTGTCCTAACCCTGGATACCAAACTCGGTCTTCATGTGGGCGCGGATAGTGGAGGAAGAAGGGATCTAGCAAGATGTCGAGATCGCAGTGGCCAGCGATCATGCCGCTGAGTATCATCTTCAAGAAGTTCTTCCAACGCGCTCCAAAGCGAGAACGGCGTTGTTTTCGTTGGCGCCAGAATGTCTGCATGAACCGTTCAGATCGCCGTTGAGCCGGAGGAATCGGGAAAGCATGAGTAGATTCCCACAGAGCTTGTCGATGAGTGGACTCAAGCTCCAGGTACCGATGACTCATATCACGATACCATCCAGTCATGGTGAACGATATCGGGTTCACTGGGACTATGATATTATCCCAAGGGGCTGTAGCGTAAATAGCCTCGATGTGTTGCCGCGAGATCAGCCCAGAAGCCCAAGTCCCCGTAGGCGGAGCTCGTCCATGATTGTAGAAGGGAAACAGAAAATTCCCGGGTTTGGAGTAGTGGTGAAACAACAGCTCAATGGTCATGGTCCTCACGCAAACCATCGCGATCCGCGAAACGGACCATGGAGCGATCTCGGAAGCTACCCGTCGGGAGGACGCCAGATAGTTGGGAATCCACTGATCCCGTGGTTGCTGGAGTGGCGGAAGATTGTCGAAGTCAACGGAAGAGAAAACTCTGTTAGCCACTTGGCGTGCCGGAAGGGTGATGCTGTTTTCGCTATCGGACGAATGGCGATCCGGAGCGCAGGGGACCCAGGGGGCGGACTAAGAGAGCCAGTCTCGCTGTGTGTCTCCCCTGTCGGCGATACCTCCACGTCTTCTACGCCGCCATCATCTTGAATTTCGACTACGGGGACAGCCGCGACCGGAGTGGATGGGTACGAAAGATAACGAGGCTCCGGAACGTCTGGAGAAGGCGAACGCAACAGTGCTTGAGCCAACGCAGTAGCTGCGGGAGAAGCGGGAACAACCCGAGCGGCCGGAGAGGAATTCGGGGTCGAAGATCGGGCATCCGATCTAGGTTGACGACGAGCGGCCGATCTCGATTGGGATAATGCAGCACGAGTCAAATCATCCGAGCTAGAATCCGACTCGGTCAGCTCCTCGCTTCCCGATCCAGTCCCAGAAGCCGTGGACGAAAGCGGAGAACAAGAAGAATTGGGTGGAGGCTCGGGTGGGGCCAATCCGGGAAGTTTGTTTAAAGGCATTGAAGGGTTAAACGACAATAGCCGGGAAGCCACACGGGCGATGGAAGAATCACTGGATCGTGACCTTGGTTGAATACGCCGACGCTTGGCAGGCGGGCCGGACGATCTCGATCGGGACCTACGGGCAAGCGATCTCGATCCCGGGGTAGTGGGAGCAGGGGGCGATCCGGCCGGAGTAGCACTCTTAGGCGTCGATCGAGCGGTCAACGCAGACGACCGGGATCCGAGTATAGCACTGTTCAGTGTGTCGAGGAGAGCACGGTGTTCAGCTATAGCCTGATCCCGATCATGCTCCACCACCTGCAACTGGTCGTGTATCTCGAGGTGTTCCGCAAGCTGACGACGTAGGTTGGCGTTCTCCGCCTGCGAAAGTGCCAACTGACCCTCTAGGGGAGTCAAACCATCCACTTGTTGTATGATATCGCTGATCGAAGACAGTCCATCTGCGATCTCCTCCTGAGACTGAGCCAATTGCTCCTTCAAGTGCAAAAAATCTATGTGAAGGAAGGACCTGCCCATGGTCAGATGATCACGCTGCTGTCGGAGAGAATTGAGTTCGGCTTGGAGCGAATGAAGCTAAGCCCTCAAAGCATCCGCCTGCCGTTCCAAGTTCCCCTAAGCCTCGTCGTTGGCACATATCAAAGTGCGTAGCCGACGAATCTCCTCCGATTGATCTCGATATGTCCGCAGAGCTCGATTGCAATCACTCAAAGAATGCACTGCGTCGACGTAGCGGCCCTGCATCCAGTCATATCGACGCTGGACGAAGGAGACAAAAGGAGCGGCTGATCTGTACAGCGAATCAAGCTCGTCTTGCAAGCGATCCCCCCGGACGACGGCATATCGGCAGGATTGCTGGAGCGCATGAATGGTGTCGGCTTGGCTGCAGAAGGTAGCCTCTCGATCCCACAAATACGAGATCGTGGCCATCGTGAGACGAACGTCGTCGGCAGAAACTCTGGGAACGAAGCCGGTGACGCCCACAGCTGGAGCAGACCTTTCACGAGATTCATTAGCGGCCGGGATGTCGGATCTGGACGCATCTGGGGCCGCCGGAGGAGTGGGAAGCGGGAATGGCTCGGAGGAACGATCTGATAATTTCGCGGCGGTCGAGAGTGATCCGACCGATCTGGGATTACTGAGAGACTCATGTTGATCTGGGACGATAGGAGCATACCACCCGCGATCCGGCGATCTAGATGGCGAGTCTCGGGATGGAGACGAGGGTCTGGTCGGCTGTCGATCTGGCGATCCTGTGGGGATTGTGGGCGATCCGGTTGGGCCTAGATGGCGCGGAGACCCAGGCCGATCGGGGACCGCTGGGGTGTGTCCTCCGAGATCGGGCGATCCGGGCGACAGGTCGCGATCCGGAGACAGAAACATGGTGGGTCCTTCTGAAGAGATCAGCGAGGTGGGTGGATGCGTCGGAGAGGCCATGAGACGGACTTGAGTGCTTGGAACGAAGTTGATGAGTGACTGTACTGAGGTCAATTGCTGTACAAAAGACTTCAGTACAGGGGGCGGTTGTGGCAAAGTCACTACTCAAATTTTGTACGAGGATCGGTGACCACACCTTTAAAGCACCGCTTACTGGTGGAAAAGGAGGCTATGAGACTCGGCGATCCAATACGGAGGTGGAAGATGATCTTAACGGGATCGGCGAACCGATCCAACTGTCGCTAGACTAATGGGTATGGATCGACCTGGGACGGAGCGATCTGGAACGATTTACATGGAACAATCTGGGACAAGGATCTGGGACCGGGTGATGGGATATGACTCTGCGACGAAGGTGTAACATCTTGCAGAATGTTATGGGGCGATCTGGAACCAGACGTCGGGATGAAGTCATACAGCTCATTGGAATGCCGGTCAAGAAGAAGTATACGTACATTGAAGCAGGCTAAGATCAGATCGCAGATCGACATGTTGTGGCAACGGTTTGTTGGAGAAATGATATATCTGGGACAAGGTGACTCCCCAAAGTGCATCTGGGACCAGGTGGTACGGGTCGGTGAATCGGCAAAGAAGGTGCAACACCATACGGATCGGTGATACTCTTTACCGATCCTAAATTGGGAGTACTGATTTTGGTTAATTATACACCGATCTGGAAGTTTTGCATACTCAGGGGAGTCAAGGAAACCGATGTCGAGACGTATGAATGAAGTTGTCGATTGGATAACACTGGAGGATGATATTGAAGCACGTATGAGGAGATGAAAAAGTGTTAATTGTCGATTTAGACCGGATCGACCTCCAACATCTCGACATTGGATGACAGATCGGTCATGTTCCACACTGATCATGAATATATGGTTGATGAAGATACTGGATCATGTGGAATATACTTGATAGAGGTAACTAAGTGATGTCAAGAAGTTTCATGCTGAAAGAGCCAGTGGAAGCTGTCCGAATTGACGTCGCAAAGTGAATTTGGACACATTCGGCATTTTGGGTCATATATTGGGTACTTGGGTGCCAAGAATGGGTATTTGGTACCATATAGGAGATTTTGGTCCATTGGGTTCTCTAGGTACGATATCGGGGATATTGGCGCTATCATTGGAGTACAGGGCACGAGATTTCGACACGTGGCAAGGGGGTGAACCATATTCAAGGCGATATCGGTTTGAAGAGTGACCTATAGTTAAGAATAAGCTTAAGGGTAGGTTGGATAGTAATTTGGTTGGTTAATAAACAGACTTGAACTCTACTTCTTCTGCTCACGACGCACGTTATCCTCCCCTCTTCTCCAGGCAAGATTGATTTGGCTTCCCCGGCGGGTTAAGGCACGCGTGTTACAGGGACACAGAAGACCGATCTTGGATTGTTGGCCAAGATCGAGAAGAGCGATCCCGGGATATCTGGCCCGGATCGATCAAGTACTCACACTCAACTCAACTGCTAGGGTAGCAGCACACAACGGAAAAGGAAAAGGAATTTGGACACAGGATCGCGAGAAGGCTCAAGTGGTCAGAAGATCTGGACAAGGCGTTCAAGACAAAACCGAGCAGGATCGAAGCGATCCCCTGGACAGATTGGCACGTTTCATTTTGGCGAAACAAGACACCGATCTACCCAAATTGCGCACTTCCGGCAAGATCGGCCGATCCCAAGACCAGATCGGACCGATCCCAAGGCAAGATCGACGCAGCACTTTTATTTGCTGAGTGAAGATATCCGCACAGCAAAGACCCCGATCTCGAAGACAAATCAAGATCGGTGCGATCCAAGATCGGGATCGCAGAACCCCCGTTCGTGGTGTGAAGATTTCCGCACCGGAAGCGAACCCTCAACCCAACCTCTCAGCGAGATCGACATCTCCCAAGGCCGTTACGAAGAGCTCAAGCCAGCCCAACCGACGGGTACACAAGGTGAGCACAAGGTCATACAACAAGGCACGGATCGGAGTACCCCCTCCGTGAGTCGGCAAGTCTGGGCAAGTGGAAGATCGACACTCATACAAGCAATTTTGTGAGATCGACTTCACCACACCAAACTGAACAAGTGTTTCTGGGCTGAAGCAGCGATGACGGCCATCTACGTCAAGAATCGACTGCCGTCACCTAAAGTCGTACACAAGACCCCGTTTGAGATCGCCTACAACTTGAAACCAAGCGTCAAGCACACGCAAGCATTCGGGTGTCAGACGTACATACTGACGCCAAAGGAGAATCGACTCACGTGGGATCCAAAGGATCGCGCTGGCATATTCGTGGGCTACGAATACGTCGAAGGCGTATCGAGTTTATGACATCGGGCGGTGCAGGTGGTTATCAGTCGCGATGTCAGCTTCGACGAGTCCACCTTTGGACTTCCGCTGCTGATCACTGATGAAGATGCCGATGACCTGGACTTCGAATTGCTTGACCTTAATGATGAAGAGCCGCGTCAGGTGGAGTACAAGCAAACAGGCAAGCGCAAAAACCGCCTCAGTGATGAAGATACAGCAGCTCCACGACCGCGTGCAGTGCGTCAACGACCCGGACTTGAAAAGTCAAGCGCGCCGGAAAGCAACTCGTCACGCCAAGAAGAAGACGAAGAAACGAAGGATTCTGATGAATCAACTCCGCCTGTGTTTTGTTGTGCGAGTGCGAATGCCGTTGAAACAGCAGCGGACTTATCGGAGCCCTCAACATTTGAGGCGGCAGTGAGCGGCCTTGACCAAGTTTATTGGCGAAGCTATTCATGCAGATCTCGAGTCAACGCGAATTCGCAGTGTGTTTTGTGCCGCCAAGCTTCCCAACGGACAACGTGCCATTGTCACAAAGTGGGTGTTCAAGATCAAGGCAGGTGGGTCAATCGAGAAGTACTAAACACGACTTGTGGCCAAGGGCTTTCGCCAAAAGTATGGCATCGACTGCACGGAGACATTTTCGCTCGTGGTCAAACATGTGACACTGCGAATGGTGATCGCAATTTCCAAGCACTTTGGATGGCCCATCGACCATCTTGATGTGGTGACGGCTTTCCTGTATAGCTTCATTGATGAACAAGTATTTTACGTGATTGCTGAAGGCGTTGAACTTGATAGTACGTTCGACTGCCTGGAATCGGTGAAGTCAATTTGCGGCCTCAAGCAAGCGTCGCGAGCGTGGAATGCGACACTCGACGATTTTGTGTACTCCATTGGATTTCAGGTATCGGACTTCGACCCATGTCTCTACATCAAGACTTCGGACGGCCATCGTGTGTTTTTACTGGTCTACGTGGACGACGTTTTGGTGACTGGAAGCTCGCTCGAGCTAATTACACGAACCAAGAACGACCTGAAGACACGTTTCGAGATGACAGACAGCGACAAGTGTGCATTTGCTCTTGGGATCGAGATTCTGGACGGTGAAGACGGCAGTGTGACTATGTGTCAGCGCCGTTATGTCAATGATATCCTCAAGTGCTTTGGATTGGAGGAGTGCAAGGCTGTGGCGGGTCCTGTGGATGTCAGCTCTCGACTGATGTCAAGCAACACTGCGAGCAAGATCGATGTTCCGTTCCGTGAAGCTGTTGGTGCTTTGATGCATCTGACGACTACAACACGACCGGACATCGCCTATGCTGTGAGCTTTGTGTCGCGCTTCACGGAGAATCCCCAAGAAGAACACTGGGTTGCAGTCAAGCGCTTCTTTCGATACCTGGAGAATCCCCAAGAAGAACACTGGGTCACGGTCAAGCTCATTATTTGATACCTACAAGGCGCCAAGATGCATGGAATTTGCTACAAGCCAAGTGTGAAGATCGACTTTCGTGGCTATTCGGACGCAGACTGGTCCGGCGACCTTACTGATCACAAGTCAACGTCTGGCTACGTCTTCATACTATTGGGTGCTCCAGTGAGTTGGGGCAGCAAGAAGCAGCCAAGTGTGTCACTGTCTACAAGCGAAGCGGAGTACATTTCGCTTGAGCCTGGCAATTCAAGAAGGCAAGTGGATCCACTGCTTACTATGCGAGATCATGGCGGCTGCTAACGAGTACAGACCCGAGCTCATGATCCGTGAAGACAAATAGCCTTGCATCAAATGACCAAGAATCCGGTTAATCAAGGCCGCGCCAAACGCATTGATATCAAGTACCATCACATTCGCGATGAAGTCAAGCGCGGTGAAGTGAAGCTTGAATACTGCGAAACGACGGTGATGTTGGCCGACATTATGATCGAGGCAATTCACCGACTGCGCCACAAGGAATTAACGGCGGCGCTAGGCATCTGTCCGCGTTTGGATTGAGGGGGCGTGTTGACGGTCATCGGTTTTCTACCAGTATTGGTAACCGCGACCGGTTCAATCCGAACCCCACCGCGAACCGCCTGCTCAGCTTATTATTTACGACGTAGTTCTTACGGTAAGTATCCATAGTTGATTAGACGCGTAGGATGACGAGAAGCTTCACATGATTAATATGTACACCACATGTAAATCATGTAGTCAGTAATAAGCCCCGATAATCAATCACTTTCGAATCTTCAACAAGTGAGCAAGTGTCTTCTGCTCTGCTCTCGTCAGTCTCTCCGCTCCCTTCGATCCGCTCTCTGCCATGCAAACAGGTTATGAGTCCAAGCGCCATGTCGTCTACCAACAACGCATCATCCAACGTCTCCATTGATAAGTTCAATGGAGACAACTATGCGACCAGGATTCGATATATGCGCGGTGTTTTTGTTGACGGTCATTGGTATCCTACCAGTGTTGGTAACCGTGACCGGTCCAATTCGAACCGCCTGTTCAGCTTAGTATTTACGACGTAGTTCTTACGGTAATTACCATAGTTGATTAGACGCGTAGGATGATGAGACGCTTCACATGATTTACATGTGCACCACATATAAATCATGTAGTAAGTAGTAAGCCCCGATAATCAATCACTTCCAATCTTCCATCTACCCCCAAGTGTCTTCTCCGGTCTTCCGAGTGGACTCCCAGCATCACCCCCAGTTTCGCTCGTCAAGCTTTACACCAATCAACAGGTTATGAGCCCAAGCACGATGTCCTCTGCTCATGATGCCACCACCAAGATCTCCATTGACAAGTTCGACGGCGACAACTACGCGACATGGAGCCGCTACATGCGTGGCGTGTTCCTGACCAAGTCGACGTGGCACGTGGTGAACCGGGAGACGTCATCGACCTACGCGGACGATCGCGCCATGGACGACTACGTCAAGGCCAACAACATCGCTTTCGGACTGATGTTGCTGCACATGGACGCAGACTACCATCACATCGTCGATGACTGTGAAGAGGCGTGTGTCGCGTGGGCGCGTTTGAAGACTCTGTACGGCGGGTCGCAGAAGGCTGGACGCATCTACTTGAAGCGCCAGATGTTCAGCATGGAGATGGCGGAAGGCGGTAATGTGATGCATCATTGCAATGAAGTCCTTAACATCAGCGCGAAGCTCAGCAGCATCGGCGCCAAGATGGAGGACGAGGACGTGGCGATCTGCTTGTTGCGCAGCCTCCCCAAGAGCTACGAGAACGTCGTTCTCAACTTGGAGATGAGCAGCGCGGAACTGCGATCGCGAGACGTCGTGAGAGTGCTCACGAATGAGCACATCAAGAGGCAAGGTGACCAGACGACATCGGTGAAGACTGAAGACGCGGCGAAGGCGTTCAGTACCGAGCGTGAACCTCGCCAGTGCACATACTGCGGAAAATTGGGGCACACGGCGGAGCGGTGCTGGACCAAGCAGAAGGACGAAAATCAAGGTGGAGCTCGACGCGGCGGCAACAATGCTCGTGGACGCGGAGCCAACAACGTTCAGTGGCGAACCAACAACAACAACGACGACGACAACTACGATCGAGTTGCGTTCGCGGTTTCGCTGGAAACTGGACTTTCGACGGGCAAGAATATGCCAGGGATGTGGGCAGTCGACAGTGGTGCGACGCATCACATCTGCAACGACAAAGCCAAGTTTGCAAGCCTGAATGAGCGAGAGGAAGGCGAACTATCAGTGGCTGATGGCAGCAAGGCTGCGGTCAAGGGTGTGGGAACCATCATGGAACGGGTGGTTCTGCCCAATGGTGACGAACGCGACATCGAGATCAAGGACGCACTGTTCGTACCAAGTATGAGCAAGAATCTGCTTTCGGTGCCACAGATCAACAAGGGTGGCAGATTCCAAGTCGTGTTCGATGGGTCCAAGATGCAAGTGAAGCGCAAGAATTCCACACAAGTCGTGGCAACAGCGGATCTCGTCGATGGACTTTACTGGCTGCGGACTCCTCAACGATCGGCAAATGCAGCAACACGCAATGGTACCATCGACTTGCATGCGCGCATGGGTCATGCACCTCTCGAAGTTCTGCGCAAGATGGTGGCCACTGGCACATGATCAAGGACGCCAAGGCACCTCTCGACTCGACTGGTCCAAGTGTGTGTCGCGGTTGCCAGCAAGGAAAGATTGTCCAAAAACCATTCCCAACCAACCGTGACGAACGCCAATATGGTGTGTTCGAGTTGCTGCACTTCGACATCTACGGGCCAATGGAACAAGTCTCGATCGGCGGCAGCAGATACTTACTGCTTGTGGTTGACGAAGCCAGCGGTTGCATGAAGGGCTTCTGTCTGCGGTCCAAGTCTGAGAGTGAAGTCTGTATCAAGAACCACATTATCAAGATTCAGACTCAGTTCGGCACGAAGATCAAGTTTGTTCGGCATGATGGAGCGCATGAGTTTGCGACCAACTCGATCAAGACCTTCTACGAAGATCATGGTATCGAACAACAAGTCACGGTGCTGTATGCACACCAGACCAACGGCACCGCAGAACGCGCGATAAGGACCATCGTCACGATCGGACGCAGCTTGTTGCATCATGCAAAGCTGGAGAAGTGTTTCTGGGCTGAAGCGGCAATAACGGCGATCTACATCAAGAACCGCCTGCCTCACCCAAGATCGACCACAAGACTCCGCTCGAGATCGTGTACAAGTCGAAACCAAGTTTCAAGCACATGCGCGTGTTTGGATGTCGGGCGTTTATCCTGACACCAAGGGAGAAGCGATTGAAGTGGGACCCGAAGGCTCGTGAAGGGATATTCATGGGCTACGAAGAAGCGTCAAAAGCTTATCGAGTGTACGACATTGAGGCGGGCCAAGTGGTGATCAGTCGTGACATCACCTTCGACGGATCGACTTTTGACTTTTCGATGGACCGACCAAGTGACGATGATGAAGATGCGGAGTTGGACCTCGACCTCCTGGCGATCAACGAGGACGACGTGCGTCAAACCGTCTACAAGCAGACTGGCAAGCGCAAGAGTGAAGCAAGACCCGGCATGTCACGTTCAGCTCGCCCTCGAACTGGGTTGGAACAAGCAAGTGCGCTGGAACACGTCTCCAACCGTCACCAGAAACGACGATCAAGTGCTCCAGAAACGATGTCTGATGACGAAGAAGATGCGAGCGTCTACGATCAAGATGACGACTCGACGCCTCCAACATTTTGGCGTGCAAGTGCAAACGCAGTGGAAGCAACGGACCTAGCAGAACCTGTGACTGTTCAAGACGCGATCAACGGTCCTGATCAAGCTCACTGGCGAAATGCTGTGAAGGCGGAACTCAAGTCGATGCATCTTCGTGGAGTTTTCCGTGCGGCAAAACTGCCAAGAGGCCAAGGCGCGATCGGCACCAAGTGGGTGTTCAAGATCAAGCGCAAAGCGAATGGATCGGTCGAGAAATACAAGGCGCGTCTCGTTGCCAAGGGCGTCAAGCAGAAGTACGGCATCGTCTACACAGAGACGTTATCGCCCGTGGTCAAGTACGTGACACTGCGTATGGTGATCGCGATCACCAAGTATTTCGACTGGCCACTGAACCAACTCGATGTGGTGACAGCCTTTCTCTGCGGAGTGATGAAGGAGAAGGTGTACTGTGTGATACCAGAAGGCGTCGAGATGGATGGCGACTTCGACTGTCTCGAGTTGGTGAAGGCGATCTACGGTCTCAAGCAAGCTTCACGTGTGTGGAACGAGACTTTCGACGAGTTCGTATGCTTTATCGGTTTCGAAGCGTCGGCGTTCGACCCATGTCTCTACATCAAGGTTGTCGACGGTCACTGTGTGCTCGTGCTGGTCTACGTGGATGACGTGTTGGTCACCGGCAGCTCGCTCGAGTTGATTGCGCAGACGAAGGCCGACCTCAAGACGCGTTTCGAGATGACCGAAAGTAGCAAGTGTACTTTTGTACTGGGCATCGAACTGGTGGACGAATCGGATGGCAGCGTGACGATGTGCCAGCGAAGGTATGTCAACGACATCCTCAAGCGCTTCGGCATGGATGAGTGCAAGGCCACAGCAAGTCCGGTGGACTTGAGCACTCGGCTTGTCGCAAGCAGCGAAGCGGCCAAGATCGACGTTCCGTGTCGTAAAGCTGTGGGAGCTTTGATGCACTTGACGACTGCGACGCGCCCGGACATTGCGTATGCTGTGGGGTACGTCTCGCGCTTCATGGAGAATCCGCAGCAAGAACATTGGACGGCGGTGAAGCGCATCTTTCGTTACTTGCAAGGGACCAAGTCGCACGGACTCCGCTTCCAGCCAAGCGACAAGATCGACTTTCGTGGCTACTCGGATGCGGACTGGGCCGGCGACCACGCTGATCGCAAGTCGACTTCGGGTTACACTTTCATGCTGATGGGCGCTCCTGTGAGTTGGGGAAGCAAGAAGCAGTCAAGCGTGTCACTGTCGACAAGTGAAGCGGAATACATCGCGCTAAGTCTGGCCATCCAGGAAGGCAAGTGGGTGCATCGCCTGCTTTGCGAGATTTTGGCGGCCGCAAACGAACCAGGACCGGACCTCGTCATCCGTGAAGACAACCAGTCGTGTATCAAGATGACGAAGAATCCGGTGAACCATGGTCGAGCCAAGCACATCGACATCAAGTACCATCACATCCGTGATGAGGTCAAGCGCGGTGAAGTGCAGCTCGAGTATTGCGAGACTTCCGTGATGATGGCGGACATCATGACAAAGGGACTTTCGGGACCTCGCCACAAGGACTTGACGACGGCTCTCGGCATTCGTGCGAGTTCGGATTGAGGGGGCGTGTTGACGGTCATTAGTTTCCTACCAGTGTTGGTAACCGTGACCGGTCCAATCCGAACCGCCTGTTCAGCTTCGTATTTACGACGTAGTTCTTACGGTAATTACCATAGTCGATTAGACGCGTAGGATGATGAGACGCTTCACATGATTTATATGTGCACCGCACATAAATCATGTAGTCAGTAGTAAGCCCCGATAATCAATCACTTTCCAATCTTCCATCTACCCCCAAGTGTCTCCTCCGGTCTTCCGAGTGGACTCCCAGCATCACTCCCAGTTTCGGTCGTCAAGCTTTACACCAATCAACAGTTTTTGACGAAGTCCGTCTGGCACGTCGTAAACCGTGTAGCGACTCCGACTTTCACCGACCCGCGAGCGTCCGATGAATGCATCAAATCGAGCAACGTCGCATTTGGCATGATGCTGCTACACATAAATGCAAATTACCACCATGTGCTTGACAACTGCGAGGAAGCGTGGGTTGCGTGGACACCTCTAAAGATGCTGTGCGGTGGGTCGCAGAAGGCAGGACGCATCTTCCTCAAGCGATAATTTTTTAGCATCAAGATGACTGAAGGTGCGGACGTCACGCACCACTGCAACGAGGTCCTCAACATCTCCTCCAAGCTTAGCGGTGTCGGTGCGAAGATGGAAGACGAAGACGTTGCAATCTGTCTGCTGCTCAGTCTTTCAAAGAGCTACGAAAATGTGGTGCTCAACAAGAAAACGAGCAGCGCCGAGCTTCGTACCCAAGATGTGGTGAGTGCTGACGAATGAGCACGCCGAGCTTCGAGGATAAAAAGGGACAACAACAGCGACTACGGTGAAGGCTGAAGACGCAAGCAAGGAATTCAGCACCGAGCACTAGCCCTACCAATGCACGTCTCGTGGAAAGGTGGGACACACGGTGGATCGTTGCTGGACAAAGCAGGAGAACGAAGGCCGAGGAGCCCGACGCGGCGGCTATGGTTGTGGACGCGGGGCTATAACGTCCAGTGGGTAAATAATGATGGAGGCAATGGATACGATCGAGTGGCGTTTGCAGTCTCGTTCGAATGTGGAGTTTCGACGAGCAAGGACGTGTCTGGAATGTGGGCCGTCGACAGTGGTGCAACGCACCACATTTGCCACGAAAAGACCAAGTTCGCAAGTTTGGCAGAGCGCAATGAGGGCGAACTCTTGGTGGCTGATGGCAACAAGGTGGCCATCAAGGGTGTGGGAACCATCATGGAAAAGGTGGTTCTGCCCAACGGTGAAGAGCGTGAGATCGAAATCAAGAACGCGCTATATGTTCCAAGTATGAGCAAGAACCTGCTCTCGGTGCCACAGATTAACAGCCAGGGCAAGTTTCAAGTCGTGTTTGACGGGTCCAAGATGTTTGTGACTCGCAAGAACTCACAGAAAGTGGTGGCGACAGCGGATCTCGTGGATGGACTTCACTGGCTTCGTACAACTCAGCGATCAGCAAATGTGACAACAACTGGAACCAGTTGTGCTGATCTACATGCGAGAATGGGTCATGCTCCAGTCGATGTACTTCGCAAGATGATCGCGACCAACATGATCAAGGATGTGCGAGTCCCTCTCAAGTCGGGTGGAGCAACTAGATGTCGAGGATGTCAACAAGGGAAAATGGTCCAAAAACCATTTCCGAGCAACCGAGACAAGCGCAGCTACGATACGTTTGAGCTACTTCATCTAGACATCTGCGGGCCCATGGAAAACGATTCGCTCGGTGTCAGCAGATATTTGCTACTGATCGTAGACGAAGACAGTGGATGTATGAAGGGCTTGTCTTTTCGAGTGAAGTCCGAGAGTGAAGACTACATCCGTAAGTACATCACTATGGTACAGACGCAGTTCAGTAAGAAGGTCAAGTCTGTGCGACAAGACGGAGCTTGCGAGCTCGCAACCAACTCGCTTCGTATTTTCTACGAAGACGAAGGCATTGAACAGCAGACAACGGTTTCATGTACACTTCAAACCGACGGAACATCAGAGCGTGCCATTAGAAATATCGTCACGATCGGCCGCAGCATGCTTCATCATGCCAAACTGAACAAGTGTTTCTGGGCTGAAGCAGCGATGACGGCCATCTACGTCAAGAATCGACTTCCGTCACCTAGAGTCGTACACAAGACCCCGTTTGAGATCGCCTACAACTTGAAACCAAGCGTCAAGCGCACGCGAGCGTTCGGGCGTCAAACGCACATACTGAAGCCAAAGGAGAATCGACTCACGTGGGATCCAAAGGCTTGCGCTGGCATGTTCGTGGGATACGAAGAAGTTTCGAAGGCGTATCGAGTTTATGAAATCAAGGCGGTGAAGGTGGTTATCAGTCGCGATGTCAGCTTCGACGAGTCCACCTTTGGACTGCCGCTGCTGATCACTGATGAAGATGCCGATGACCTGGACTTCGAATTGCTTGACCTCAATGATGAAGAGCCGCGTCTGGTGGAGTACAAGCAAACAGGCAAGCGCAAAAACCGCCTCAGTGATGAAGATACAGCAGCTCCACGACCGCGTGCAGTGCGTCAACGACCCGGACTAGAAAAGTCAAGCGCGCCGGAAAGCAACTCGTCACGCCAAGAAGAAGACGAAGAAACGAAGGATTCTGATGAATCAACTCCGCCTGTGTTTTGTTGTGCGAGTGCGAATGCCGTTGAAACAGCAGCGGACTTATCGGAGCCCTCAACATTTGAGGCGGCAGTGAGCGGCCTTGACCAAGTTTATTGGTCAAGCTATTCATGCAGAGCTCGAGTCAACGCGACTTCGCAGTGTGTTTTGTGCCGCCAAGCTTCCCAACGGACAACGCGCCATTGGCACAAAATGGGTGTTCAAGATCAAGCTCAAGGCGGGTGGGTCAATCGAGAAGTACTAGGCACGACTTGTGGCCAAGGGCTTTAGCCAAAAGTATGGCATCGACTGCACGGAGACATTTTCGCTCGTGGTCAAACATGTGACACTGCGAATGGTGATCGCAATTTCCAAGCACTTTGGATGGCCCATCGACCAGCTCGATGTGGTGACGGCTTTTCTGTACGGCTTCATTGATGGAACAAGTGTTCTGTGTGATTCCTGAAGGCGTTGAACTTGATAGTACGTTCGACTGCCTTGAATTGGTGAAGTCAATTTGCGGCCTCAAGCAAGCGTCGCGAGTGTGGAATGCGACATTCGACGAGTTTGTGTACTCCATTGGATTCCAGGTATCGGACTTCGACTCATGTCTCTACATCAAGACTTCGGACGGCCATCGTGTGTTTGTATTGGTCTACGTGGACGACGTTTTGGTGACTGGAAGCTCGCTCGAGCTAATAGCACGATCCAAGAACGACCTGAAGACACGTTTCGAGATGACAGACAGCGACAAGTGTGCATTTGCTCTTGGGATCGAGATTCTGGACGGTGAAGACGGCAGTGTGACTATGTGTCAGCGCCGTTATGTCGGTGATATCCTCAGGTGCTTTGGATTGGAGGAGTGCAAGGCTGTGGCGAGTCCTGTGGATGTCAGCTCTCGACTGATGTCAAGCAACACTGCGAGCAAGATCGATGTTCCATTCCGTGAAGCTGTTGGTGCTTTGATGCATCTGACGACTACAACACGACCGGACATCGCCTATGCTGTGAGCTTTGTGTCTCGCTTCATGGAGAATCCCCAAGAAGAACACTGGGTTGCGGTCAAGCGCTTCTTTCGATACCTGGAGAATCCCCAAGAAGAACACTGGGTCACGGTCAAGCTCATTATTTGATACCTACAAGGCACCAAGATGCATGGAATTTGCTACAAGCCAAGTGTGAAGATCGACTTTCGTGGTTATTCAGACGCAGACTGGTCCGGCGACCTTACTGATCACAAGTCAACGTCTGGCTACGTCTTCATACTATTGGGTGCTCCAGTGAGTTGGGGCAGCAAGAAGCAGCCAAGTGTGTCACTGTCTACAAGTGAAGCGGAGTACATTGCGCTTGAGTCTGGCGAGTCAAGAAGGCAAGTGGATCCACCGCTTACTATGCGAGATCATGGCGGCTGCTAACGAGGACAGACCCGAGCTCATAATCCGTGAAGACAAACAGCCTAGCATCAAATGACCAAGAATCCGGTTCATCACGGCCGCGCCATACACATTGATATCAAGTACCACCACACTCGCGGTGAAGTCAAGCGCGGTGAAGTGAAGCTTGAATACTGCGAAACGACGGTGATGATGGCCGACATTATGATCGAGGCAATTCACCGACTGCGCCACAAGGAATTAACGGCGGCGCTAGGCATCTGTCCGCGTTCGGATTGAGGGGGCATGTTGACGGTCATCGGTTTTCTACCAGTACTGGTAACCGCGACCGGTTCAATCCGAACCCCACCGCGAACCGCCTGCTCAGCTTATTATTTACGACGTAGTTCTTACGGTAAGTATCCATAGTTGATTAGACGCGTAGGATGACGAGAAGCTTCACATGATTAATATGTACACCACATGTAAATCATGTAGTCAGTAATAAGCCCCGATAATCAATCACTTTCGAATCTTTCAACTAGTGAGCAAGTGTCTTCTGCTCTGCTCTCGTCAGTCTCTCCGCTCCCTTCGATCCGCTCTCTGCCATGCAAACAGGTTATGAGACCAAGCGTCATGTCGTCCACCAACGCATCATCCAACGTCTCCATTGATAAGTTCAATGGAGACAACTATGCGACTAGGAGTCGATACATGCACAGTGTGTTTTTGACGAAGTCCGTCTGGCACGTCGTAAATTGTGAAGCGACTCCGACTTTCACCGACCCGCGAGCGTCCGAGATGAATACATCAAGTCGAGCAACGTCGTATTTGGTATGATGCTGCTACACATAAATGCAAATTATCACCATGTGCTTGACAACTGCGAGGAAGCGTGGGTTGCGTGGACACCTCTGAAGATGCTGTGCGGTGGGTCGCAGAAGGCAGGAATCGTCTTCCTCAAGCGACAACTTTTCAGCATCAAGATGACTGAAGGTGCAGACGTCACGCACCACTGCAACGAGGTCCTCAACATCTCCGCCAAACTTAGCGGCATCGGTGCGAAGATGGAAGACGAAGACATTGCAATCTGTCTGCTGCTCTGTCTTTCAAAGAGCTACGAAAATGTGGTGCTCAACAAGAAAACGAGCAGCGCCGAGCTTCGTACCCAAGGTGTGGTGAGTGCTGACGAATGAGCACGCCGAGCTTCGAGGATAAAAAGGGACAACAACAGCGACTACGGTGAAGGCTGAAGATGCAAGCAAGGCATTCAGCACCGAGCACTAGCCCTACCAATGCACGTCTCGTGGTAAGGTGGGACACACGGTGGATCGTTGCTGGACAAAGCAGGAGAACGAAGGTCGAGGAGCCCGACGCGGTGGCAATGGTTGTGGACGCGGGGCTAATAACGTCCAGTGGGTAAACAATGATGAAGTTAATGGCTACGATCGAGTGACGTTTGCAGTCTCGTTCAAATTGTGGAGTTTCGACGAGCAAGGACGTGTCTAGAATGTGGGCCGTCGACAGTGATGCAACGCACTACATTTGCCACGACATGACTAAGTTTGCAAGTTTGCAGAGCGCAGTGAGGGTGCATTATTGGCGGCTGATGGCAACAAGGTGGCCATCAAGGGTGTGGGAACCATCGTGGAAAAGGTGGTTCTGCCTAACGGTGAAGAGCGCGAGATCGAGATCGAAAACTCGTTATGTGTCCCAAGTATGAGCAAGAACCTGCTTTCGGTGCCATAGATTAACAGGCATGGCAAGTTCCAAGTCATTTTTGACGGGTCCAAGATGTTTGTGACTCGCAAGAACTCACAGAAAGTGGTGGCGACAGCGAATCTCGTGGATGGACTTCACTGGCTTCGTACAACTCAGCGATCAGCAAATGTGACATTAAGTGGAAACAGTTGTGCTGATCTACATGCGCAAATGGGTCATGCTCCACTCGACGTACTTCGCAAGATGGTCATGACCAACGTGATCAAGGATATTATTGTCCCTCTTAAGTCGAATGGAGCAACTGCATGTCGAGGGTGCCAACAAGGGAAAATGGTCCAAAAACCATTTCCAAGCAAACGCGACAAGCGTAACTAAGATACGTTCGAGCTGATTCACCTGGACATATGGGGCCCATGGAAAACGATTCGCTCGGTGTCAGCAGATAATTGCTACTGATCGTAGACGAAGCCAGTGGATGTATGAAGGGCTTGTCTTTTCGAGTGAAGTCCGAGAGTGAAGACTACATCCGTAAGTACATCACTATGGTACAGACGCAGTTCAGTAAGAAGGTCAAGTTTGTGCGACACTACGGAGCTTGCGAGCTCGCAACCAACTCGCTTCGTATTTTCTACGAAGACGAAGGCATTGAACAGCATGTTGAAAAGACAGCGGCTGTGAAGAAGACACCTCGTCAAGCTGCGTCAAGTGTTGAAGCAAGTGGAAGACCAAGCTTCGCTATACCGGTGGGTACCGGTATGTACCAGTAAGGGCGAAGTCAGGAAATGACGTCATTGGATGACGTCATTGCATGACGTCAGTGGGTGACGTCAGTGGGTGACGTCACTGGATGACGTCACTGCGAATAATAGGCTTAGAGGTAGTATTCAAAGTTGCGAACTAAGTACCTATTATAAATATATATTCACTTTGCGTTTTGCACTCGGACCAAGAAGTCTAAAGTTCATCAGGTTATGAGCCCAAGTTCGTCAGACTCTGAAACCGCCAACAATTCAAGCTTAGCTGCCATGGACGCCTCCTCCCTCCGCATCTCCAAGTTCGATGGAACTAACTTCCACGCCTGGAAGTTCAAGATGCAGATGGTGCTGGAGGAACGGGACCTATGGGAGGTCGTCAGCGGTGAGATCAAGGCGGAACAGTGCGAGACTCAGTTGGACCAAGCGACGTACAAGAGGAAGTCAAGAAAGGCGATGGCAGTGATCTGTCTAGCCATGGAAGATTCCCAGCTACCGTTGGTCCGGTCGGCAAGTGGTGCATGCGACGCATGGTCAAGGTTGGAAGACCACTTCGAGAAGAAGAGTCTTGCCAACAAGCTGTTCTTGCGCCGTCGCTTCTTCACGACAATGATGGAAGAAGGCGACGATGTGCTCGAACACATCAACAAGCTCAAGACGCTGGCGGAACAGCTAGAAGCGGTGGGGGCTCCAGTCTGCGAGGACGATCTGGTGATCACACTTCTCGGCAGCCTGAGTGACTCGTATCAATTCTTGATCACAGCTTTGGAGTCGCGCTCAGACACTCTTAGCTGGGAGCTCGTGACGTCTCGACTGCTTCATGAAGAAATGAAGCGGAAGGAGCAAGGAAGTAAAGGTGATGAAGCTTCGCAAGGTCAAGCGTTCATCACAAGGGACAATCAGCGCAAAGGGCGACCAGTGAAGAAGTCCTGGCCGTGCCACAATTGCGGAAAGATTGGTCACTGGATGGCGGAGTGCCCCTCGCGCATCCAAGAAAACACGGAGAGACACCGGCCACAGCGTGCTCAAGACAGCGGCGACCGCTATCGATCACAACGTGCAAACGTCGCTCAAGAAGAAGACTCGGGCGACTACCTCTTTTCGATCGGTGAAACGACATCTGCGAAATCGAGCGGCATCTGGCTGGTCGAATCCGGGGCGACGCAGCACATGACGTGCTCCAAGAAGTTCATGCGGAACTACAAGGGGTTTGACGCTGTGGATGTCCATCTCGCGGATGATGGAATCGTCCAAGCAATCGGCAGTGGCGACATTGTGATGACAATGAAGACACCCCAAGGGATGAAGAAAGGTGTGCTCACAAACGTGTGGCACATCCCAAAGTTATCCAGAAACCTGTTCTCGGTCGGCCGCTTCACCAAGGATGTCGGCCCAGTGACGTTCACGAAGGATGGGTGCTATGGAGAAGCGAAAGGGACCAAGTGGAAAATTGGTGCCCGTGAAGGTAAAGGACTGTTCAAGCTGCAAATGACTCCAGTGGCGCCGGAACAAGCAAATGCAGCCAAGTCGTCGGGATGTCAAGGGGACACCACGTCGTACCTCTGGCACCTTCGACTTGGTCACATAGGTCACGATGGACTCAATTGCATCGTGACGAAGAACATTGGAATTGGCATCGACATATCTTCGGTGAAGAAGTGGGACGTGTGTGAAGGTTGTGCTCTGGGAAAACAGACTCGAGTGCGCTTCCAATCAAACACTACAGCTCGCACCTCCAAACTCCTCGAAGTGATTCACAGCGACGTATGCGGGCCGATGTCGATAGCAACTTTCAGTGGAAAACGGTACTTCGTGACATTCATTGATGACAAGTCAAGATACTGTGTCGTCTATCTGCTCAAGAGCAAATCTGAAGTTGCGGCGAAGTTCATGGAATACGCTGCGATGGCCGAAACGCAAACCGGAAAGCGCGTGAAGTACCTTCAAAGCGACAATGGGGGTGAATACAAGTCCGACAAGCTGGCACGATTCTGCGCGGAACGGGGAATACAACAAAGGTTCACACCCCCATATACTCCTCAGCTAAACGGAGTAGCTGAGAGAATGAATCGCACGCTGGTCGAGTGTGCGCGTTGCATGATGGAACACGCTGGACTGGGAAAGAGCTACTGGGGTGAAGCAGTGATGACGGCGATGTTTCTTCGAAACCGCTGTCCAACACGTGCCATTCACCAAGACAAGTCTCTATATCAAGTGTGGACGATGAAGAAACCGATTCTGGCCAACCTTAAAGTGTTTGGATGCCACGCGTATGTTCAAGTGCCTCAAGACAAACGCGCGAAGTTCGACTCCAAGTCATCACTCTGTCGTTTCCTGGGATACGCCGAACACCAGAAGTCATATCGATTTGAGGAAGTGTCAACAGGAGCGATCAAGATCAGTCGCGATGCCACATTCATGGAAGACAAGTTTGATGAAGGTCCGCGCAACTACAACGATGAGTCAAGTGTCGTTGAGTTTGATGATCAAGACGAGGACGAAGAAAAAGAAGAAGGTAAAACTGACGACGACATGGACTCGAGCGACGATGACAACGAAGACACCAGGTCTTCGAAGAGCAACATCAAGAGACACACGCGCACTCAATCACTTGAGAAAGCTACCGTCATTCCAAGTCCCAAGCGAAGAACATACAGAGGTCCGTCGCTTGAGCATGTGTCAGCGGCTGCAATGGATTTTGAAGCAGCCTACATCGTTGATTCAGTGGGGGAAACGCCGACTACATTCAAGTCGGCGATGGAATCAAGCGACTCCGGCAAGTGGAAAGAAGCGTGTGACTCGGAGTTCGACTCGCTTCAGAGAAACGACACGTGGGAAATCGTGCCTCTTCCGAAAGGTCGCAAGGCCATCGGGTGCCGATGGGTTTTTCGTGTAAAGGAGAATCAAGATGGCGAAGTTGAACGTTTCAAGGCAAGACTTGTGGCCAAAGGATTCTCACAGAAATTCGGAGTCGACTATGAAGAAACTTTCGCACCGGTGGCCAAGTTCACATCGATTCGTGTGGTGCTCAGTATGGCGGCCAAGTACGGCCTAATGCTACATCAGATGGACGTCAAAACAGCGTTTCTTAACGGCTCCCTCAACGAAGACATCTACATGGACCAGCCGGACGGATACCTGGATGCAACACAGCCGGACGGATACCTGGATGCAACACAGCCGGACTATGTGTGCAAGCTAAAGAGATCACTCTACGGCTTGAAGCAATCGCCTCGCATGTGGAACCAAACAATCGATGGGTTCATGATCAAGATGGGATTCAAGAAGTGCGAATCGGACCACTGCATCTACATCAAGCGAGACGACCAAGACATGATTCTCGTGGTGCTCTACGTCGATGATCTCATCCTGGCCAGCAGCAACAACGAACTCCTCAAGTCAACCAAGATGGCGCTGAGCAAACGCTTCGAAATGACGGATCTCGGTGAGCTCGATTACTTTCTCGGCATGGAGATCAAGAGCGACCGTAAGACGGGAATGGTGACTGTACAACAAACCAAGTTTCTCAAGTCCGTGTTAACAAAGTTCGGAATGGATAACAGCAAGCCAGTGAAGACGCCTCAAGATCCCGGCCTGAAGCTAACCAAGAACATGTGTGAACAAGAATGCAAGCACGAAGACACCATGTGCAACGTGCCATATCGAAGTGCTGTCGGAGGCATCATGTATCTCATGGTCGCCACACGTCCGGATCTAGCTGCTGCAGTGGGATCGTTATCCCAGTTCTCGTCCGACCCATGCCCGACTCACTGGCAAGCTTTGAAGCGTGTGCTGAGATACCTGCAAGCAACGCCCAATCATGGTCTTGAGTTTACACGTGAAGAAGGAAGCCGTATCTGCGGGTACACCGACGCAGACTGGGCCGGCGACATTGAGTCAAGACGAAGTACAAGCGGCTATGTGTTCATGATGAACGGAGGATGCATCAGCTGGAAAAGCCAGAAACAACGGACGGTCGCGCTATCTTCAACAGAAGCAGAATACATGGCGCTTTCCGAAGCAACCAAAGAAGCAGTATGGCTCAAGGTGCTTTTGGGGGAACTTGGTGAGATGACAAGCGACGAAGCGATCAAGATGTATGAAGACAACCAAGGATCAATCGCTCTCGCCAAGAACCCGGAGTTCCATAAGAGAACAAAACACATCGACATACGCTACCATTTTGTGCGTGAGAAGGTGGAATCAGGTGAAGTCGTTTTGGAGTATTGCCCGACTCAAGATATGCTGGCAGACATGATGACCAAGCCGATCGCCGCTGTACAATTTGAAAACATTCGCGATCGACTTGGGATCCAAGGTGCCGCAGCTAACGAGTCGAGAGGGAGTGTTGAAAAGACAGCGGCTGTGAAGAAGACACCTCGTCAAGCTGCGTCAAGTGTTGAAGCAAGTGGAAGACCAAGCTTCGCTATACCGGTGGGTACCGGTATGTACCAGTAAGGGCGAAGTCAGGAAATGACGTCATTGGATGACGTCATTGCATGACGTCAGTGGGTGACGTCAGTGGGTGACGTCACTGGATGACGTCACTGCGAATAATAGGCTTAGAGGTAGTATTCAAAGTTGCGAACTAAGTACCTATTATAAATATATATTCACTTTGCGTTTTGCACTCGGACCAAGAAGTCTAAAGTTCATCACAGCAGACAACGGTTTCATGTACACTTCAAACCGACGGAACATCAGAGCGTGCCATTAGAAATATCGTCACGATCGGCCGCAGCATGCTTCATCATGCCAAACTGAACAAGTGTTTCTGGGCTGAAGCAGCGATGACGGCCATCTACGTCAAGAATCGACTGCCGTCACCTAGAGTCGTACACAAGACTCCGTTTGAGATCGCCTACAACTTGAAACCAAGCGTCAAGCACATGCGAACATTCGGGTGTCAAACGCACATACTGAAGCCAAAGGAGAATCGACTCACGTGGGATCCAAAGGCTTGCGCTGGCATGTTCGTGGGATACGAAGAAGTTTCGAAGGCGTATCGAGTTTATGAAATCAAGGCGGTGAAGGTGGTTATAAGTCGCGATGTCAGCTTTGACGAGTCCACCTTTGGACTTCCGCTGCTGATCACTGATGAAGATGCCGATGACCTGGACTTCGAATTGCTTGACCTCAATGATGAAGAGCCGCGTCTGGTGGAGTACAAGCAAACAGGCAAGCGCAAAAACCGCCTCAGTGATGAAGATACAGCAGCTCCACGACCGCGTGCAGTGCGTCAACGACCCGGACTAGAAAAGTCAAGCGCGCCGGAAAGCAACTCGTCACGCCAAGAAGAAGACGAAGAAACGAAGGATTCTGATGAATCAGCTCCGCCTGTGTTTTGGCGTGCGAGTGCGAATGTCGTTGAAACAGCAGCGGAATTATCGGAGCCCTCAACATTTGAGGCGGCAGTGAGCGGCCTTGACCAAGTTTATTGGCCAAGCTATTCATGCAGATCTCGAGTCAACGCGAATTCGCAGTGTGTTTTGTGCCGCCAAGCTTCCCAACGGACAACGTGCCATTGTCACAAAGTGGGTGTTCAAGATCAAGCTCAAGGCGGGTGGGTCAATTGAGAAGTACTAGGCACGACTTGTGGCCAAGGGCTTTCGCCGAAAGTATGGCATCGACTACACGGAGACATTTTCGCCTGTGTATTGTGGGTTGACGGTTGAGGTACTGCTATTAGCTACCATGGGAACCGTAAACCTGTCCAAGTCGATCCCGCGTAATTACGGTGAGTTTTCACCAATAATTAGACGCATAGGATGATTGGATGACCTACATGATTTATGATTTATGATTTAAATGTGGACAACATATAAATCAGTGCAGAGATAAATCAGGTAGCTTTAACAAAACTCACAAATAAATTCACTTCCAAATATTCCTTCTCCTACACAAGTCGTCGTCACTTCGCAGTGTAGACTTCTTTCAAGCCTTTCAAGCTTCGTTCTCTCGCCCAGTGCTCTTCAGACTTTAACAGGTTATGAGCCCAAGCACGATGTCCTCTGCTCAAGATTTCGCCACCAAGATCTCTATCGATAGATTCGATGGAGACAACTACGCGACGTGGAGCCGCCACATGCGTGGCGTGTTCCTGACCAAGTCGACGTGGCACGTGGTCAACGGGAGACCATCCCCACCTTCGCCGATCCTCGCGCCAGTGATGAGTACGTCAAAACGAAAAACATTGCGTTCGGCTTTGATGTTACTTCACATGAGCGCGGACTATCATCACATGGTTGATGACTGCGACGAGGCATGGGTTGCGTGGACACGGTTGAAGACTTTCTACGGCGGATCGCAGAAGGCGGGACGGATCTTCTTGAAGCGGGAGCTGTTCAGCATGGAGATGGCGGAAGGCGGCAATGTAATGCATCATTGCAATGAAGTTCTCAACATCAGCGCCAAGCTCAGCAGCATCGGCGCCAAGCTCAGCAGCATCGGCGCCAAGATGGAGGATGAGGACGTGGCGATCTGCTTGTTGTGCAGCCTCCCCAAGAGCTACGAGAACGTCGTGCTGAACTTGGAGATGAGCAGCGCGGAACTGCGATCGCGAGACGTCGTGAAAGTGCTGACGAATGAGCACATCAAGAGACAAGGTGACAAGACGACATCGGTGAAAACTGAAGAAGCAACCAAGGCCTTCAGTACCGAGCGTGAGGTTCGTCAGTGTACGTTCTGCGGAAAATTGGGGCACACGGTGGAAAAGTGCTGGACCAAGCAGAAGGAAGACAATCGGGGAGCTCGACGCGGCGGCAATGCACGTGAACGCGGAGCGAATCAAGTTCAGTGACAAGGCTACAACGGCAACAGCAACTGTGACTATGATCGAGTGGCGTTTGCTGTTTCGCTGGAATGCGAACTTTCAACGACCAAGAGCATGTCTGGAATGTGGGCGATTGTCAGCGGTGCAACACATCACATCTGCTATGACAAGTCCACGTTCGAATTTCTGGACGAGCGCAATGAAGGTGAAGTGTTGGTTGCAGATGGGAACAAGGCTGCGATCAACGGTGTCGGGACAATCATCGAAAAGGTGACCCTGTCCAACGGTGAAGAGCGCGAAGTCGAGATCAAGAACGCGCTTTACGTCCCAAGCATGAACAAAAACTTGCTTTCGATACCACAAATCAACAGAAGCGGCAAGTTTTAAGTGGTGTTTGATGGTGACAAGATGAAGATTTGCACAAAGGATCCAAGCAAGTAATAGCGATGGCCGATCTTGTGGATGGCCTCTACTGGCTTCGTACATCCCAACGATCGGTGAATGCGGCTTCAGGACCAAGAGTCGAAAGCCTGCATGCGCGTATGGGCCACGCACCGATTGATGTCTTGTGCAGAATGGTCTCCAAGGGCATGATCAAGGATGCCAAGAAGCCAGCAAAATTGAGCGGATCAAGCGTGTGCCAAGGTTGTCTAGAAGGAAAAATGGTTCAACGACCGTTCCCGAGCAATCCAAACAAGCGCCATTACGATCCGTTTGAGCTTCTACACATCGACACTTGTGGTCCAATGGAAGTCGACTCGCTAGGTGGAAGCAAGTACTTGCTACTGATCGTCGATGAAGGCAGTGGATGTACAAAGGGTTTTAGTCTGCGCGCCAAGTCCGACAGCGAAGAGTGCATCAAGAAGTACATCATGGCAGTACAGACGCAGTTTGACTACAAGGTCAAGTTCGTTCGACACGATGGTGCACGAGAATTTGCGGCGAATTCGCTCAAGGCATTTTACGATGATCAAGGAATCGAGGAGCAAGTTACCGTTCCGTATGCGCATCAGACCAACGGCACGGCGGAACGGGCAATTCGGACCATTGTGACGATCGGGCGCAGCATGCTTCACTACGCCAAGCTGGACAAGTGTTTTTGGGCTGAAGCAGCAATGACGGCAATCTACATCAAGAATCGCCTACCATCGCCCAAGTGCCAAGATCGAACCCCATTCGAGATCGTCAACGGATTTCGACCAAGTGTGAAGCACATGCGGGTTTTCAGCTGCCGAACGTTTATGCTGACCCCTAAGGAAAAGAGGTCGAAATGGGATCCTAAGGCTCGTGAAGGACTATTCATGGGGTACGAAGAAGTATCAAAGGCATATCGCGTTTACGACATTGAAGCGGACCAAGTGGTGATATCTCGCGATGTCACATTCGACGAATCAACGTTTGGTTTCTCGCCGACGCTACCACAAGAAATTGTTGATGACACTGCGCTGGATATCGAATCGATGAACATCAGCGATGAGCCTCACCTATGCAATTCAAGCAAACTGGAAAACACAAAAGCCGTTCAAACAGTCAAGAACAAGTTCTACAACGGACACTTCTTGAGCGTCGTGGAACCGGGTTAGAAGAAGCAAGTGCGCCGGATGACTTTGAAACGCACCAAGCGAAGCGACGGTCAAGCGCTCGAGCAAATCTGGACGAAGAGCGAAAGGGCAGTGACGAAGATAACGAGGATGCTACACCTCAAGTCTTTTGGCGAGCGAGTGCCAATGCAGTCGAAGGTACTGACTTGTCTGAGCCGACAACGTTTAAAGATGCTGTTGGTGGACCAGATCAAGTGCATTGGTGTAAAGCAATCTGTGCCGAGTTGGACTCGATGAAACTTCGTGGCGTGTTTCGAGCGACCAAACTGCCGTCTGGACAGCATACCATTGGCACTGTTGTAACTTGAGCGCGAGGCGAAGAGAAAAGGAAGCGGAGAGACCGGAGAGAACGAAGCAGAGAACACTTGCTCACTTGAGGGAGGATTCGAAAGTGATTGATTTATAGGTCTTAACTTCTGCCTACCCTAGACTGCATCCAATCACATGGTGCATCTAATCAACCTGATTTACACGCGTCCAATCATCCTACGCGTCTAATCATCTCTGAGGTAATTACCGATGTAAAAACTATCTCGTAAGAACTACGCGCTAGGTTCGGATTGTACCGGTAACCCTCAATACGCCGCCTCAATCCGAACACGCACGGATGCCAAGCGCCGCCGTCAAGTCCTTGTGGCGCGGTCCGTGAAGTCCCTTGGTAATGATGTCCGCCAACATCAACGTCGTCTCGCAGTATTCAAGCTTCACTTCGCCGCGCTTGACTTCATCACGGATGTGATGGTACTTGATGTCGATGTGTTTAGCGCGGCCGTGGTTGACCGGATTCTTCGTCATCTTGATGCACGACTGGTTGTCTTCACGGATGACGAGCTCGGGTCCTTCTTCGTTTGCAGCCGCCATGATCTCGCACAGCAAGCGATTGATCCACTTGCCTTCTTGGATCGCCAGGCTGAGCGCGATGTACTCCGCTTCGCTTGTAGACAGTGACACACTTGGCTGTTTCTTGCTGCCCCAACTCACCGGAGCACCCAATAGCATGAAGACGTAGCCGGACGTCGATTTGCGATCAGCAAGGTCACCGGCCCAGTCTGCATCTGAATAGCCACGAAAGTCGATCTTCGCACTTGGCTTGTAGCAGATTCCATGCATCTTGGTGCCTTGTAGGTAGCGGAAGATGCGCTTGACTGCAACCCAGTGTTCTTCTTGGGGTTTCTCCATGAACCGTGACACAAAGCTTACAGCATAGGCGATGTCCGGTCGCGTTGCAGTCGTCAGATGCATCAAAGCACCCACTGCTTCACGGAATGGGACATCCACCTTGCTTGCAGAGTTGCTCGGAACCAGTCGAGAGCTGACGTCCACCGGACTTGCCACAGCCTTGCACTCATCCATTCCAAAGCGCTTGAGGACATCGTCGACATAACGGCGCTGACACATAGTCACGCTGCCATCTTCACCGTCCAATAACTCGATCCCAAGAACAAAGGCACACTTGCCGCTGTCCGTCATCTCGAAGCGTGTCTTGAGGTCGTTCTTGGTGCGCGCAATCATCTCGAGCGAGCTTCCAGTCACCAAGACATCGTCCACGTAGACCAGCACAAAAACACAATGGCCTTCCGAAGTCATGATGTAGAGACATGGATCGAATCCCGACGCTTGAAAACCAATCGAGCGTATGAACTCGTCGAAGGTCTCGTTCCAAACACGCGAGGCTTGCTTGAGACCGTAGATCGCCTTGATCAGCTCGAGACAGTCGAAATCACCTTCCATCTTGACGCCTTCCGGAACAGCGCAGAACACCTTCTCCTTCATCACTCCATACAGGAACGCAGTCACCACATCGAGCTGGTCGAGGGGCCATCCAAAGTGCTTGGTAATGGCGATGACCATTCGCAGCGTCACATACTTGACCACGGGCGAGAACGTCTCCGTGTAGTCGATGCCATACTTTTGGCGAAAACCCTTGGCCACAAGTCGTGCCTTGTATTTCTCGATCGACCCATCCGCCTTGCACTTGATCTTGAAGACCCACTTTGTGCCGATGGCGCTTTGTCCGTTGGGTAACTTGGCCGCACGAAAGACACCGCGAACTTCATCGAATCGAGCTCCGCATCAATTGCCTTGCGCCAGTGTACTTGGTCCGGGCCAGACACTGCTTCTTCAAATGTCGACGGCTCCGAAAAATCGACCGCTGCTTCAACGGCGTTTGCACTCGCATGCCAAAACGCGGAGGAAGTCGGTGTGTCATGTTGTTCCTCCGACTTCCTTTCTTCATCTTCGTTGGCTCGACGTGAAGAGAGGTCATCCGGCGCACTTGACTCTTCCAATCCGGGTCGTTGGCGCACTGCTCGGGGCATGCTTGCGTCGTCATTGTCGTGACTGGGTTGGGCCTTGCGCTTTCCTGTTTGTTTGAAGTGTCTCGGACGCGGTTCTTCATCATCAAGATCGATCGATTCGAAGTCCAGGCCATCAACATCGTCATCGGAAATCAGCATCGACAGTCCAAAGGCCGACTCATCGAAGTTGACATCGCGACTTATCATCACCTGCCCCGCTTCGATGTCGTAAACTCGATACGCCTTGGACACTTCTTCGTAGCCCAAAAACAATCCAGCCCGGGCCTTGGGATCCCACTTGAGTCGTTTCTCCTTCGGGGTCAAGATGTATGCTTGGCACCCAAAAACGCGCATGTGCTTGACACTTGGCTTAGAAATGTAGACAATCTCGAACGGTGTCTTGTGTGGAATCTTGGGTGACGGCAAACGGTTCTTCACATAGACGGCCGTCATTGCCGCTTCAGCCCAGAAGCACTTGTGCAACTTGGCATGGTGAAGCATGCTGCGGCCGATCGTGACGATAGTTCGAATCGCGCGTTCAGCAGTTCCATTGGCTTGATGTGCGTATGGCACCGTGGTTTGTTGCTCGATGCCTTCGACTTCGTAGAAATCTTGAAGCGAGTTCGTCGCAAACTCGCAAGCTCGTCGTGGCGCACAAAACTTGACCTTCTTGCTGAACTGCGTCTGCATCATCGTGATGTACTTCTTGATGCACTCTTCGCTCTCTGACTTGGAATGCAGACAAAAACCCTTCATGCATCCGCTGGCTTCATCCACGATCAGCAGCAGATACTTGCTGCCACCCAGAGATTTTTCTTCCATGGGTCCGCAGATGTCGAAGTGGAGCATCTCGAAGGTGTTGTAGGTGCGCTTGTCACGGTTGCTCGGGAATGGTTTTTGTACCATCTTCCCTTCTTGGCATCCTCGACACACACTTGATCCATTCGGCTTGGAAGGGATGTGAGCGTCCATGATCATGTGACTTGTCACCATCCTGCGAAGCACGTCGACTGGAGCATGGCCCATTCGCGCATGTAGATCAACAGCGTTTCTGAGTGATGTCGCATTGGCCGATCGCTGCGTCGTGCGAAGCCAGTAGAGTCCGTCTACAAGATCCGCAGCTGCCACCACTTGATTGGAATCCTTGCGAGCGACGTACATCGTATCCCCGTCAAACACCACTTGGAAGTTGCCGTGCTTGTTAATCTGCGGCACCGAGAGCAGATTTTTGCTCATGCTGGGCACATAGAGCGCGTTCTTGATCTCGATCTCGCGCTCTTCCCCGTTTGGCAGAATCACCTTTTCCAAGATGGTCCCCACACCTTTGATGGCCGCCTTGTTGCCATCAGCCACCAGGATCTCGCCATCATTGCCTTCGACCAAGCTTGCAAACTTGAACTTGTCGTGGCAGATGTGATGTGTTGCCCCGCTGTCAATGGCCCACATTCCTGGTCCATTCTTGTTCGTCGAAACTCCGCATTCGAACGAAACTGCAAACGCCACTCGATCGTAGCTGTTGCCTTCATCATAATGTCGCCAGTGGACATTGTTTGACCCGCGTCGACGACCATTGCCGCCGCGTTGGGCTCCTCGACTTTCATCCTTTTGCTTCGTCCAGCAACGCTCTGCCGTGTGCCCCACCTTGCCGCAGTATGTGCATTGGTAGGGCTTGCGCTCGGTACTGAATGCCTTTGTCGCATCTTCAGTCTTCACCGTTGTCGTTGCCATCGTCATCTTCTCGCCTTGTCGCTTGATGTGCTCGTTAGTCAGTACCTTGACCACATCTTGCGTGCGCAGCTCTGCATTGCTCATCTCCAAGTTGAGAACCACGTTCTCGAAACTATTGGGCAGACTGCGCAGTAAGCAGATCGCAATGTCTTCGTCTTCCATCTTGGCACCGATGCTGCTGAGCTTGGCGCCGATGTTCAAGACTTCGTTGCAATGGTGCAAGACGTTGGCACCTTCCGCCATCTTGATGCTGAACAGCTGGCGCTTGAGGTAGATGCGTCCCGCCTTCTGCGACCCACCATAGAGCATCTTCAACCGCGACCACGCTGTCCATGCTTCTTCACAGTTGTCGACCACATGGTGGTAGTCGGCGTCCATGTGGAGCAACATCAACCCGAACGCGATGTTGCTCGACTTGACGTACTCGTCGGAAGCTCGCGTATCGGTGAAGGTTGGAGACGTTTCGCGGTTCACGACGTACCAGACTGACTTCGTCAGAAACACGCCGCGCATGTAGCGACACCAGGTTGAGTAGTTGTCCCCATCGAACTTATCGATGGAGACACTGGCCGAGGTGTTGTTGGACGACATGGCGCTTGGGCTCATAACCTGTTGTAACTTGAGCGCGAGGCGAAGAGAAAACGAAGCGGAGAGACCGGAGAGAACGAAGCAGAGAACACTTGCTCACTTGAGGGAGGATTCGAAAGTGATTGATTTATAGGTCTTAACTTCTGCCTACCCTAGACTGCATCCAATCACATGGTGCATCTAATCAACCTGATTTACACGCGTCCAATCATCCTACGCGTCTAATCATCTCTGAGGTAATTACCGATGTAAAAACTATCTCGTAAGAACTACGCGCTAGGTTCGGATTGTACCGGTAACCCTCAATAGGCACCAAGTGGGTATTCAAAAAAAGATCAAACGGAAAGCTGATGGATCCATCGAGAAATACAAGGCGCTTCTCGTGGCAAAAGGGTTCAAGCAGAAGTATGGCATCGACTACAAGGAGACGTTTTCGCCGGTAGTCAAGTACGTGACGCTGCGCATGGTGGTTGCAATCACGAAGTACTTTGGCTGGACACTGGACCAACTGGACGTGGTGACAGCTTTCCTTTACGGAGAAATGAAGGAAAAGGTATTCTGCTCGATCCCAGAAGGAGTCGAAGTTGATGAAGACTTTGACTGCTTTGAACTGGTCAAGGCGATCTACGGACTAAAACAAGCATCGCGCTTATGGAACGAGACTTTTCATGAGTTCGTCTGCTCCATTGGATTTCAAGTCTTCGATTTTGACCCGTGTCTTTATCTCAAGATTACAAGTGGCGAGTGCGTGCTTTTGCTGGTATACGTCGATGATGTGTTGGTGACTGGCAGATCAACCGAACTGATTATGCGCACCAAGAGTGACTTAAAGGCGCGTTTCGAAATGACCGACAGTGGGAAGTGCGCATTCGTGTTGGGCATCGAGCTGGTGGACAACGACAACGGTAGCGTGACGATGTGCCAGCGACGCTACGTGGAAGATGTTCTCAAGCGTTTTGGCACGAGCGACTGCAAAGCCGTAATCAGCCCAACAGACATCAGTTCTCGAATCACACCAAGCACCGCAGCAACCAAAATCCATGCCCCGTTTCGTGAAGCAGTAGGCGCTTTAATACACTTGATGACCGCGGCACGATCGTACATTGACTTTGCTGTGAGTTACGTTTCGCGCTTCATGGAGAACCCCCAAGTCGAGCTTTGGATGGCGGTCAAGCGTATTTGCGATACTTACAAGGGACTAAGTCGCAAGGTATCTGTTCCAAGCCTGATGACAAGATAGACTTCTGTGGCTACTCGGATGCAGACTGGGCCGGCGACCATGCAGACCGCAAGTCGACTTCAGGATATGCGTTTATCCTGATGGGTGCTCCGGTGAGCTGGGGAAGCAAAAAGCAGTCAAGTGTGTCGCTGTCAACAAGTGAAGCTGAGTACATTGCACTAAGTCTGGCGATTCAAGAAGGCAAGTGGGTGCATCGATTGCTGTGCGAGATTCTGGATGCCGCAGAGGGAAATTCTGGACCCGAGCTCAAGAACATGGACGACAACCAGTCGTGCATCAAGATGACGAAGAATCCTGTGAACCATGGTCGGGCCAAGCACATCGACATCAAGTACCATCACATTCGTGATGAAGTCAAGCGTGGTGATGTCAAGTTGGAGTACTGTGAGACTACGACTATGTTGGCGGACATCATGACGAAGGGACTGCCAGGACCGCGTCACAAGGACTTGACGGCAGCGCTCGGCATACACGCGTGTTCGCATTGAGGGGGCGTATTGTGGGTTGACGGTTGAGGTACTGCTATCAGCTACCACGGGAGCCGTAAACCTGTCCAAGTCGATCCCGCGTAATTACGGTGAGTTTTCACCAATGATTAGACGCATAGGATGATTGGATGACCTACATGATTTATGATTCATGATTTATATGTGGATAACATATAAATCAGTGCAGAGATAAATCAGGTAGCTTTAACAAAACCCACAAATAAATTCACCTCCAAATATTCCTTCTCCTACACAAGTCGTCGTCACTTCGCAGTGTAGACTTCTTTCAAGCCTTTTAAGCTTCGTTCTCTCGCCCAGTGCTCTTCAGACTTTAACACTGTGGTCAGTATGTGACACTGCGAATGGTGATCGCAATTTCAAAGCACTTTGGATGGCCCATCGACCAGCTTGATGTGGTGACGGCTTTCCTGTATAGCTTCATGAAGGAACAAGTGTTCCATGTGATTCCTGAAGGCGTTGAACTTGATAGTACGTTCGACTGCCTGGAATCGGTGAAGTCAATTTGCGGCCTCAAGCAAGCGTCTCGAGTGTGGAATGCGACATTCGACGAGTTTGTGTACTCCATTGGATTCCAGGTATCGGACTTCGACCCATGTCTCTACTTCAAGACTTCGGTTGGCCATCGTGTATTTGTACTGGTCTACGTGGACGACGTTTTGGTGACTGGAAGCTCGCTCGAGCTAATAGCACGATCCAAGAACGACCTGAAGACACGATTCGAGATGACAGACAGCGACAAGTGTGTGTTGTAACTTGAGCGCGAGGTGAAGAGAAAACGAAGCGGAGAGACCGGAGAGAACGAAGCAGAGAACACTTGCTCACTTGAGGGAGGATTCGAAAGTGATTGATTTATAGGTCTTAACTTCTGCCTACCCTAGACTGCATCCAATCACATGGTGCATCTAATCAACCTGATTTACACGCGTCCAATCATCCTACGCGTCTAATCATCTCTGAGGTAATTACCGATGTAAAAACTATCTCGTAAGAACTACGCGCTAGGTTCGGATTGTACCGGTAACCCTCAATACGCCCCCTCAATCGGAACACGCACGGATGCCAAGCGCCGCCGTCAAGTCCTTGTGACGCGGTCCGTGAAGTCCCTTCGTCATGATGTCCGCCAACATCAGCGTCGTCTCGCAGTATTCAAGCTTCACTTCGCCGCGCTTGACTTCATCACGGATGTGATGGTACTTGATGTCGATGTGTTTAGCGCGGCCGTGGTTGACCGGATTCTTCGTCATCTTGATGCACGACTGGTTGTCTTCACGGATGACGAGCTCGGGTCCTTCTTCGTTTGCAGCCGCCATGATCTCGCACAGCAAGCGATTGATCCACTTGCCTTCTTGGATCGCCAGGCTGAGCGCGATGTACTCCGCTTCGCTTGTAGACAGTGACACACTTGGCTGTTTCTTGCTGCCCCAACTCACCGGAGCACCCAATAGCATGAAGACGTAGCCGGACGTCGATTTGCGATCAGCAAGGTCACCGGCCCAGTCTGCATCTGAATAGCCACGAAAGTCGATCTTCGCACTTGGCTTGTAGCAGATTCCATGCATCTTGGTGCCTTGTAGGTAGCGGAAGATGCGCTTGACTGCAACCCAGTGTTCTTCTTGGGGTTTCTCCATGAACCGTGACACAAAGCTTACAGCATAGGCGATGTCCGGTCGCGTTGCAGTCGTCAGATGCATCAAAGCACCCACTGCTTCACGGAATGGGACATCCACCTTGCTTGCAGAGTTGCTCGGAACCAGTCGAGAGCTGACGTCCACCGGACTTGCCACAGCCTTGCACTCATCCATTCCAAAGCGCTTGAGGACATCGTCGACATAACGGCGCTGACACATAGTCACGCTGCCATCTTCACCGTCCAATAACTCGATCCCAAGAACAAAGGCACACTTGCCGCTGTCCGTCATCTCGAAGCGTGTCTTGAGGTCGTTCTTGGTGCGCGCAATCATCTCGAGCGAGCTTCCAGTCACCAAGACATCGTCCACGTAGACCAGCACAAAAACACAATGGCCTTCCGAAGTCATGATGTAGAGACATGGATCGAATCCCGACGCTTGAAAACCAATCGAGCGTATGAACTCGTCGAAGGTCTCGTTCCAAACACGCGAGGCTTGCTTGAGACCGTAGATCGCCTTGATCAGCTCGAGACAGTCGAAATCACCTTCCATCTTGACGCCTTCCGGAACAGCGCAGAACACCTTCTCCTTCATCACTCCATACAGGAACGCAGTCACCACATCGAGCTGGTCGAGGGGCCATCCAAAGTGCTTGGTAATGGCGATGACCATTCGCAGCGTCACATACTTGACCACGGGCGAGAACGTCTCCGTGTAGTCGATGCCATACTTTTGGCGAAAACCCTTGGCCACAAGTCGTGCCTTGTATTTCTCGATCGACCCATCCGCCTTGCGCTTGATCTTGAAGACCCACTTTGTGCCGATGGCGCTTTGTCCGTTGGGTAACTTGGCCGCACGAAAGACACCGCGAACTTCATCGAATCGAGCTCCGCATCAATTGCCTTGCGCCAGTGTACTTGGTCCGGGCCAGACACTGCTTCTTCAAATGTCGACGGCTCCGAAAAATCGACCGCTGCTTCAACGGCGTTTGCACTCGCATGCCAAAACGCGGAGGAAGTCGGTGTGTCATGTTGTTCCTCCGACTTCCTTTCTTCATCTTCGTTGGCTCGACGTGAAGAGAGGTCATCCGGCGCACTTGACTCTTCCAATCCGGGTCGTTGGCGCACTGCTCGGGGCATGCTTGCGTCGTCATTGTCGTGACTGGGTTGGGCCTTGCGCTTTCCTGTTTGTTTGAAGTGTCTCGGACGCGGTTCTTCATCATCAAGATCGATCGATTCGAAGTCCAGGCCATCAACATCGTCATCGGAAATCAGCATCGACAGTCCAAAGGCCGACTCATCGAAGTTGACATCGCGACTTATCATCACCTGCCCCGCTTCGATGTCGTAAACTCGATACGCCTTGGACACTTCTTCGTAGCCCAAAAACAATCCAGCCCGGGCCTTGGGATCCCACTTGAGTCGTTTCTCCTTCGGGGTCAAGATGTATGCTTGGCACCCAAAAACGCGCATGTGCTTGACACTTGGCTTAGAATTGTAGACAATCTCGAACGGTGTCTTGTGTGGAATCTTGGGTGACGGCAAACGGCTCTTCACATAGACGGCCGTCATTGCCGCTTCAGCCCAGAAGCACTTGTCCAACTTGGCATGATGGAGCATGCTACGACCGATGGTGACGATAGTTCGAATCGCGCGTTCAGCAGTTCCATTGGCTTGATGTGCGTATGGCACCGTGGTTTGTTGCTCGATGCCTTCGACTCGTAGAAATCTTGAAGCGAGTTCGTCGCAAACTCGCAAGCTCGTCGTGGCGCACAAAACTTGACCTTCTTGCTGAACTGCGTCTGCATCATCGTGATGTACTTCTCGATGCACTCTTCGCTCTCTGACTTGGAATGCAGACAAAAACCCTTCATACATCCACTCGCCTCATCCACGATCAACAGCAGGTATTTGCTGCCGCCCAGAGATTTTTCTTCCATAGGTCCGCAGATGTCGAAGTGGAGCATCTCGAAGGTGTTGTAGGTGCGCTTGTCACGGTTGCTCGGGAATGGTTTTTGGACCATCTTCCCTTCTTGGCATCCTCGACACACACTTGATCCATTCGGCTTGGAAGGGATGTGAGCGTCCTTGATCATGTGACTTGTCACCATCCTGCGAAGCACGTCGACTGGAGCATGGCCCATTCGCGCATGTAGATCAACAGCGTTGCTGAGTGATGTCGCATTGGCTGATCGCTGCGTCGTGCGAAGCCAGTAGAGTCCGTCTACAAGATCCGCAGCTGCCACCACTTGATTGTAATCCTTGCGAGCGACGTACATCGTATCCCCGTCAAACACCACTTGGAAGTTGCCGTGCTTGTTAATCTGCGGCACCGAGAGCAGATTTTTGCTCATGCTGGGCACATAGAGCGCGTTCTTGATCTCGATCTCGCGCTCTTCCCCGTTTGGCAGAATCACCTTTTCCACGATGGTCCCCACACCTTTGATGGCCGCCTTGTTGCCATCAGCCACCAGGATCTCGCCATCATTGCCTTCGACCAAGCTTGCAAACTTGAACTTGTCGTGGCAGATGTGATGTGTTGCCCCGCTGTCAATGGCCCACATTCCTGGTCCATTCTTGTTCGTCGAAACTCCGCATTCGAACGAAACTGCAAACGCCACTCGATCGTAGCTGTTGCCTTCATCATAATGTCGCCACTGGACATTGTTTGCCCCGCGTCCACGACCATTGCCGCCGCGTTGGGCTCCTCGACTTTCATCCTTTTGCTTCGTCCAGCAACGCTCTGCCGTGTGCCCCCACCTTGCCGCAGTATGTGCATTGGTAGGGCTTGCGCTCGGTACTGAATGCCTTTGTCGCATCTTCAGTCTTCACCGTTGTCGTTGCCGTCGTCATCTTCTCGCCTTGTCGCTTGATGTGCTCGTTAGTCAGCACCTTGACCACATCTTGCGTGCGCAGCTCTGCATTGCTCATCTCCAAGTTCAGAACCACGTTCTCGAAACTCTTCGGGAGACTGAGCAGCAAGCAGATCGCAATGTCTTCGTCTTCCATCTTGGCACCGATGCTGCTGAGCTTGGCGCCGATGTTCAGGACTTCGTTGCAATGGTGCAAGACGTTGGCACCTTCCACCATCTTGATGCTGAACAGCTGGCGCTTGAGGTAGATGCGTCCCGCCTTCTGCGACCCACCATAGAGCATCTTCAACCGCGACCACGCTGTCCATGCTTCTTCACAGTTGTCGACCACATGGCGGTAGTCGGCGTCCATGTGGAGCAACATCAGTCCAAACGCGATGTTGCTCGACCTGACGTACTCGTCGGAAGCTCGCGTGTCGGTGAAGGTTGGAGACGTTTCGCGGTTCACGACGTACCAGACTGACTTCGTCAGAAACACGCCGCGCATGTAGCGACACCAGGTTGAGTAGTTGTCCCCATCGAACTTATCGATGGAGACACTGGCCGAGGTGTTGTTGGACGACATGGCGCTTGGGCTCATAACCTGTTGCAACTTGAGCGCGAGGTGAAGAGAAAACGAAGCGGAGAGACCGGAGAGAACGAAGCGGAGAACACTTGCTCACTTGAGGGAGGATTCGAAAGTGATTGATTTATAGGTCTTAACTTCTGCCTACCCTAGACTGCATCCAATCACATGGTGCATCTAATCAACCTGATTTACACGCGTCCAATCATCCTACGCGTCTAATCATCTCTGAGGTAATTACCGATGTAAAAACTATCTCGTAAGAACTACGCGCTAGGTTCGGATTGTACCGGTAACCCTCAATAGTGTGCATTTGCTCTTGGGATCGAGATTCTGGACGGTGAAGACGGCAGTGTGACTATGTGTCAGCGCCGTTATGTCGGTGATATCCTCAGGTGCTTTGGATTGGAGGAGTGCAAGGCTGTGGCGAGTCCTGTGGATGTCAGCTCTCGACTGATGTCAAGCAACACTGCGAGCAAGATCGATGTTCCATTCCGTGAAGCTGTTGGTGCTTTGATGCATCTGACGACTACAACAAGACCGGACATCGCCTATGCTGTGAGCTTTGTGTCGCGCTTCATGGAGAATCCCCAAGAAGAACACTGGGTTGCGGTCAAGCGCTTCTTTCGGTACCTGGAGAACCCCCAAGAAGAACACTGGGTCGCGGTCAAGCTCATTATTTGATACCTACAAGGCACCAAGATGCATGGAATTTGCTACAAGCCAAGTGTGAAGATCGACTTTCGTGGTTATTCGGACGCAGACTGGTCCGGCGACCTTACTGATCACAAGTCAACGTCTGGCTACGTCTTCATACTATTGGGTGCTCCGGTGAGTTGGTGCAGCAAGAAGCAGCCAAGTGTGTCACTGTCTACAAGTGAAGCGGAGTACATTGCGCTTGAGTCTGGCGACTCAAGAAGGCAAGTGGATCCACTGCTTACTATGCAAGATCATGGCGGCTGCTAACGAGTACGGACCCGAGCTCATGATCCGTGAAGACAAATAGCCTTGCATCAAATGACCAAGAATCCGGTTAATCAAGGCCGCGCCATACACATTGATATCACATACCATCACATTCGCGATGAAGTCCAGCGCGGTGAAGTGAAGCTTAAATAATGCAAAACGACGGTGATGATGGCCGACATTATGATCGAGGTAATTCACCGACCGCGCCACAAGGAATTAACGGCGGCGCTAGGCATCTGCCCGCGTTCGGATTGAGGGGGCGTGTTGACGGTCATCGGTTTTCTACCAGTATTGGTAACCGCGACCGGTTCAATCCGAACCCCACCGCGGACCGCCTGCTCAGCTTATAATTTACGACGTAATTCTTACGGTAAGTATCCATAGTTGGTCAGACGAGTAGGATGACGAGAAGCTTCACATGATTAATATGTACACCACATATAAATCATGTAGTCAGTAGTAAGCCCCGATAATAAATCACTTTCGAATCTTTTAACTAGTGAGCAAGTGTCTTCTGCTCTTCTCTCGTCAGTCTCTCCGCTCCCTTCGATCCGCTCTCTGCCATGCAAAAGGTTATGAGACCAAGCGTCATGTCGTCCACTAACGCATCATCCAACGTCTCCATTGATAAGTTCAATGGAGACAACTATGCGATTAGGGGTCGATACATGCACAGTGTGTTTTTGACGAAGTCCGTCTGGCACGTCGTAAATCGTGAAGCGACTCCGACTTTCACCGACCCGCGAGCGTCCGAGATGAATATATCAAGTCGAGCAACGTCGCATTTGGTATGATGCTGCTACACATAAATGCAAATTATCACCATGTGCTTGACAACTACGAAGAAGCGTGGGTTGCGTGGACACCTCTGAAGATGCTGTGCGGTGGGTCGCAGAAGGCAGGAAGCATCTTCCTCAAGCGACAACTTTTCAGCATTAAGATGACTGAAGGTGCAGACGTCACGCACCACTGCAAAAAAGTCCTCAACATCTCCGCCAAGCTTAGCGGCATCGGTACGAAGATGGAAGACGAAGACGTTGCAATCTGTCTGCTGCTCTGTCTTTCAAAGAGCTACGAAAATGTGGTGCTCAACAAGAAAACGAGCAGCGCCGAGCTTCGTACCCAAGGTGTGGTGAGAGTGCTGACGAATGAGCACGCCGAGCGTCGAGGAGAAAAAGGGACAACAACAGCGACTACGGTGAAGGCTGAAGATGCAAGCAAGGCATTCAGCACCGAGCACTAGCCCTACCAATGCACGCATTGTGGTAAGGTGGAACACACGGTGGATCGTTGCTGGACAAAGCTGGAGAACGAAGGTAGAGGAGCCCGACGCGGTGGCAATGGTCGTGGACGCGGGGCTATAACGTTCAGTGGGTAAACAATGATGAAGCCAATGGCTACGATCGAGTGACGTTTGCAGTCTCGTTCAAGTGTGGAGTTTCGACGAGCAAGGACGTGTCTAGAATATGGGCGTCGATAGTGGTGCAACGCACTACATTTGCCACGACAAGACCAAGTTTGCAAGTTTGGAAGAGCGCAATGAAGGCGACTTTTTGGTGGCTGATGGCAACAAGGTGACCATCAAGGGTGTGGGAACCATCATGGAAAAGGTGGTTCTGCCTAACGGTGAAGAGCGCGAGATCGAGATCAAGAACTCGTTATGTGTCCCAAGTATGAGCAAGAACCTGCTTTCGGTGCCATAGATGAACAGGCATGGCAAGTTCCAAGTCATTTTTGACGGGTCCAAGATGTTTGTGACTCGCAAGAACTCACAGAAAGTGGTGGAGACAGCGAATCTCGTGGATGGACTTCACTGGCTTCGTACGACTCAACGATCAGCGAATGTGACAGCACGTGGAACCAGCTGTGCTGATCTACATGCGCGAATGGGTCACGCTCCACTCGACGTACTTCGCAAGATGGTCATGACCAACGTGATCAAGGATATTATTGTCCCTCTTAAGTCGAATGGAGCAACTGCATGTCGAGGGTGCCAACAAGGGAAAATGGTCCAAAAACCATTCCCAAGCAAACGCGACAAGCGTAACTACGATACGTTCGAGCTGATTCACCTGGACATATGGGGCCCATGGAAAACGATTCGCTCGGTGTCAGCGGATAATTGCTACTGATCGTAGACGAAGTCAGTGGATATATGAAGGGCTTGTCTTTACGAGTGGAGTCCGAGAGTGAAGACTACATCCGTAAGTACATCACTATGGTACAGACGCAGTTCAGTAAGAAGGTCAAGTCTGTGCGACAAGACGGACCCGCGAGTTCGCAACCAACTCGCTTCGTATTTTCTACGAAGACAAAGGCATTGAACAGCAGACAACGCTTCCATGTAAACGTCAAACCGACGGAACAGCAGAGCGTGCCATTAGGACTATCGTCACGATCGGCCGCAGCATGCTTCATCATGCCAAACTGAACAAGTGTTTCTGAGCTGAAAGCAGAGATGACGTCCAACTACGTCAAGAATCGACTGCCGTCACCTAGAGTCGTACACAAGACCCCGTTTGAGATTGCCTACAACTTGAAACCAAGCGTCAAGCACACGCGAGTATTTGGGTGTCAGACGTACATACTGACGCCAAAGGAGAATCGACTCAAGTGGGATCCAAAGGCTCGCGCTGGCATATTCGTGGGATACGAAGAAGTTTCGAAGGCGTATCGAGTTTATGACATCGGGCGGTGCAGGTGGTTATCAGTCGCGATGTCAGCTTCGACGAGTCCACCTTTGGACTTCCGCTGCTGATCACTGATGAAGATGCCGATGACCTGGACTTCGAATTGCTTGACCTCAATGATGAAGAGCCGCGTCTGGTGGAGTACAAGTAAACAGGCAAGCGCAAAAACCGCCTCAGTGATGAAGATACAGCAGCTCCACGACCGCGTGCAGTGCGTCAACGACCCGGACCAGAAAAGTCAAGCGCGCCGGAAAGAAACTCGTCACGCCAAGAAGAAGACGAAGAAACGAAGGATTTGTTGAATGATGAAGAGCTTGACGACCGAAACTGGGAGGGATGCTGAGAGTCCACTCGGAAGACCGGAGAAGACACTTGGGGTAGATGGAAGATTGGAAAGTGATTGATTATCGGGGCTTACTACTTACTACATGATTTATATGTGGTGCACATATAAATCATGTGAAGCGTCTCATCATCCTACGCGTCTAATCAACTATGGTAATTACCGTAAGAACTACGTCGTAAATACTAAGCTGAACAGGCGGTTCGGATTGGACCGGTCACGGTTACCAATACTGGTAGAAACCGATGACCGTCAACACGCCCCCTCAATCCGAACTCGCACGAATGCCGAGAGCCGTCGTCAAGTCCTTGTGACGAGGTCCCGAAAGTCCCTTGGTCATGATGTCCGCCATCATCACGGAAGTCTCGCAATACTCGAGCTGCACTTCACCGCGCTTGACCTCATCACGGATGTGATGGTACTTGATGTCGATGTGCTTGGCGCGGCCATGATTCACCGGATTCTTTGTCATCTTGATGCACGACTGGTTGTCTTCACGGATGACGAGGTCCGGTCCTGGTTCGTTTGCGGCCGCCAAAATCTCGCATAGCAGGCGATGCACCCACTTGCCTTCCTGGATGGCCAGACTCAGTGCGATGTATTCCGCTTCACTCGTCGACAGCGACACACTTGACTGCTTCTTGCTTCCCCAACTCACAGGAGCACCCATCAGCATGAAAGTGTAACCCGAAGTCGACTTGCGATCAGCGTGGTCGCCGGCCCAGTCCGCGTCCGAGTAGCCACGAAAGTCGATCTTATCGCTTGGCTGGAATCGGAGTCCGTGCGACTTGGTCCCTTGCAAGTAACGAAAGATGCGCTTCACCGCCGTCCAATGTTCTTGCTGCGGATTCTCCATGAAGCGCGAGACGTACCCCACAGCATACGCAATGTCCGGGCGCGTCGCAGTCGTCAAGTGCATCAAAGCTCCCACAGCTTCACGAAACGGAACGTCGATCTTGGCCGCTTCGGTGCTTGCGACAAGCCGAGTGCTCAAGTCGACCGGACTTGATGTGGCCTTGCACTCATCCATGCCGAAGCGCTTGAGGATGTCGTTGACATACCGTCGCTGGCACATCGTCACGCTGCCATCCGATTCGTCCACCAGTTCGATGCCCAGTACAAAAGTACACTTGCCACTGTCGGTCATCTCGAAACGCGTCTTGAGGTCGGCCTTCGTCTGCGCAATCAACTCGAGCGAGCTGCCGGTGACCAACACGTCATCCACGTAGACCAGCACGAGCACACAGTGACCATCGACAACCTTGATGTAGAGACATGGGTCGAACGCCGACGCTTCGAAACCGATAGAGCATACGAACTCATCGAAAGTCTCGTTCCACACACGTGAAGCTTGCTTGAGACCGTAGATCGCCTTCACCAACTCGAGACAGTCGAAGTCGCCATCCATCTCGACGCCTTCTGGTACCACGCAGTACACCTTCTCCTTCATCACTCCGTAGAGAAAGGCTGTCACCACATCGAGTTGGTCCAGTGGCCAGTCGAAATACTTGGTGATCGCGATCACCATACGCAGTGTCACGTACTTGACCACGGGCGAGAACGTCTCTGTGTAGTCGATGCCGTACTTCTGCTTGAAGCCCTTGGCAACGAGACGCGCCTTGTATTTCTCGACCGATCCATCCGCTTTTCGCTTGATCTTGAACACCCACTTGGTTCCAATCGCGCCTTGGCCTCTTGGTAGTTTTGCCGCACGGAAAACTCCACGAAGATGCATCGACTTGAGTTCCGCCTTCACAGCATTTCGCCAGTGAGCTTGATCAGGACCATTGATCGCGTCTTGAAAAGTCACAGGTTCTGCTAGGTCCGTTGCTTCCACTGCGTTTGCACTTGCACGCCAAAATGTTGGAGGCGTCAAGTCGTCATCTTGATCGTAGACGCTTGCATCTTCTTCGTCATCAGACATCGTTTCTGGAGCACTTGATCGTCGTTTCTGGTGACGGTTGGAGACGTGTGCCGGCGCACTTGCTTGTTCCAATCCAGTTCGAGGGCGAGCTGAACGTGACATGCCGGGTCTTGCTTCACTCTTGCGCTTGCCAGTCTGCTTGTAGACAGTTTGACGCACGTCGTCCTCGTTGATCGCCAGGAGGTCGAGATCCAACTCCGCATCTTCATCATCGTCACTTGGTCGGTCCATCGAAAAGTCAAAAGTCGATTCGTCGAAGGTGATGTCACGACTGATCACCACTTGGTCCGCCTCAATGTCGTACACTCGATAAGCTTTTGACACTTCTTCGTAGCCCATGAACATCCCTTCACGAGCCTTCGGGTCCCACTTCAATCGCTTCTCCCTTGGTGTCAGGATAAACGCCCGACATCCAAACACGCGCATGTGCTTGACACTTGGTTTCGACTTGTACACGATCTCGAACGGAGTCTTGTGGTCGATCTTGGGTGAAGGCAGGCGGTTCTTGATGTAGATCGCCGTCATTGCCGCTTCAGCCCAGAAACACTTCTCCAGCTTTGCATGATGCAACAAGCTGCGTCCGATCGTGACGATGGTCCTTATCGCGCGTTCTGCGGTGCCGTTGGTCTGGTGTGCATACGGCACCGTGATCTGTTGTTCGATACCATGATCTTCGTAGAAGGTCTTGATCGAGTTGGTCGCAAATTCATGCGCTCCATCGTGCCGAACAAACTTGATCTTCGTGCCGAACTGTGTTTGAATCTTGATGATGTGGTTCTTGATACAGTCTTCACTCTCAGACTTGGACCGCAGACAGAAGCCCTTCATGCAACCGCTAGCTTCGTCAACCACAAGCAGTAAGTATTTGCTGCCGCCGATCGAGACTTGTTCCATTGGCCCGCAGATGTCGAAGTGCAGCAACTCGAACATACCATATTGGCGTTTGTCACGGTTGGTTGGGAATGGTTTTTGGACCATCTTTCCTTGCTGGCAACCGCGACACACACTTGGACCAGTCGAGTTGAGAGGTGCCTTGGCGTCCTTGATCATGCCAGTGGCCACCATCTTGCGCAGAACTTCGAGAGGTGCATGACCCATGCGCGCATGCAAGTCGATGGTCCCATTGCGTGTTGCTGCATTTGCCGATTGTTGAGGAGTCCGCAGCCAGTAAAGTCCATCGACGAGATCCGCTGTTGCCACGACTTGTGTGGAATTCTTGCGCTTCACTTGCATCTTGGATCCATCGAACACGACTTGGAACCTCCCACCCTTGTTGATCTGTGGCACCGAAAGCAGATTCTTGCTCATGCTTGGTACGAACAGCGCGTCCTTGATCTCGATGTCGCGTTCGTCACCATTGGGCAGAACCACCCGTTCCATGATGGTTCCCACACCCTTGATCGCAGCCTTGCTGCCATCAGCCACTGATAGTTCGCCTTCCTCTCGCTCATTCAGGCTTGCAAACTTGGCCTTGTCGTTGCAGATGTGATGCGTCGCACCGCTGTCGACTGCCCACATCCCTGGCATATTCTTGCCCGTCGAAAGTCCGGCCTCCAGCGAAACCGCGAACGCAACTCGATCGCAGTTGTCGTCGTAGTTGCTGTTGGTTCGCCACTGAACGTTGTTGGCTCCGCGTCCACGAGCATTGTTGCCGCCGCGTCGAGCTCCACCTTGATTCTCGTCCTTCTGCTTGGTCCAGCACCGCTCCGCCGTGTGCCCCAATTTTCCGCAGTATGTACACTGGCGAGGTTCACGCTCGGTACTGAACGCCTTGGCCGCGTCTTCAGTCTTCACCGATGTCGTCTTGTCACCTTGCCTCTTGATGTGCTCATTCGTGAGCACTCTCACGACGTCTCGCGATCGCAGTTCCGCGCTGCTCATCTCCAAGTTGAGAACGACGTTCTCGTAGCTCTTGGGGAGGCTGCGCAACAAGCAGATCGCCACGTCCTCGTCCTCCATCTTGGCGCCGATGCTGCTGAGCTTCGCGCTGATGTTGAGGACTTCGTTGCAATGATGCATCACATTGCCGCCTTCCGCCATCTCCGTGCTGAACAGCTGGCGCTTCAAGTAGATGCGTCCAGCCTTCTGCGACCCGCCGTACAGCGTCTTCAAACGCGCCCACGCGACCCACGCCTCTTCACAGTCATCAACCACGTGATGATAATCTGCGCTCATGTGCAGCAGCATCAAGCCGAACGCAATGTTGTTCGTCTTGACGTAGTCGTCACTGGCGCGAGGATCGGCGAAGGTGGGGGTGGTCTCCCGGTTCACCACGTGCCACGCCGACTTGGTCAGGAACACGCCACGCATGTAGCGGCTCCACGTCGCGTAGTTGTCGCCGTCGAACTTGTCAATGGAGATCTTGGTGGTGGCATCATGAGCAGAAGACATCGTGCTAGGGCTCATAACCTGTTGAGGGGTGTAAAATCTTGACGGCCGAAACTGGGAGTGATGCTGGGAGTCCACTCGGAAGACCGGAGAAGACACTTGGGGGGGTAGATGGAAGATTGGAAAGTGATTGATTATCGGGGCTTACTACTTACTACATGATTTATATGTGGTGCACATATAAATCATGTGAAGCGTCTCATCATCCTACGCGTCTAATCAACTATGGTAATTACCGTAAGAACTACGTCGTAAATACTAAGCTGAACAGGCGGTTCGGATTGGACCGGTCACGGTTACCAATACTGGTAGAAACCGATGACCGTCAACAGGATTCTGATGAATCAACTCCGCCTGTGTTTTGTTGTGCGAGTGCGAATGCCGTTGAAACAGCAGCGGACTTATCGGAGCCCTCAACATTTGAGGCGGCAGTGAGCGGCCTTGACCAAGTTTATTGGTCAAGCTATTCATGCAGAGCTCGAGTCAACGCGAATTCGCAGTGTGTTTTGTGCCGCCAAGCTTCCCAACGGACAACGTGCCATTGTCACAAAGTGGGTGTTCAAGATCAAGATCAAGGCAGGTGGGTCAATCGAGAAGTACTAGGCACGACTTGTGGCCAAGGGCTTTCGCCAAAAGTATGGCATCGACTGCACGGAGACATTTTCGCTCGTGGTCAAACATGTGACACTGCGAATGGTGATCGCAATTTCCAAGCACTTTGGATGGCCCATCGACCAGCTTGATGTGGTGACGGCTTTCCTGTATAGCTTCATTGATGGACAAGTGTTCTGTGTGATTCCTGAAGGCGTTGAACTCGATAGTACGTTCGACTGCCTGGAATTGGTGAAGTCAATTTACGGCCTCAAGCAAGTGTCGCGAGTGTGGAATGCGACATTCGACGAGTTTGTGTACTCCATTGGATTCCAGGTATCGGACTTCGACCCATGTCTCTACATCAAGACTTCGGACGGCCATCGTGTGTCTTTACTGGTCTACGTGCACGACGTTTTGGTGACTGGAAGCTCGCCCGAGCTGATTGCACAAACCAAGAACGACCTGAAGACACGATTCGAGATGACAGACAGCGACAAGTGTGCATCTGTTCTTGGGATCGCGCTTTTGGACGGTGAAGACGGCAGTGTGACTCTGTATCAGCGCCGTTATGTCAATGATATCCTCAGGTGCTTTGGATTGGAGGAGTGCAAGGCTGTGGCGAGTCCTGTGGATGTCAGCTCTCGACTGATGTCAAGCAACACTGCGAGCAAGATCGATGTTCCATTCCGTGAAGCTGTTGGTGCTTTGATGCATCTGACGACTACAACAAGACCGGACATCGCCTATGCTGTGAGCTTTGTGTCGCGCTTCATGGAGAATCCCCAAGAAGAACACTGGGTTGCGGTCAAGCGCTTCTTTCGGTACCTGGAGAACCCCCAAGAAGAACACTGGGTCGCGGTCAAGCTCATTATTTGATACCTACAAGGCACCAAGATGCATGGAATTTGCTACAAGCCAAGTGTGAAGATCGACTTTCGTGGTTATTCGGACGCAGACTGGTCCGGCGACCTTACTGATCACAAGTCAACGTCTGGCTACGTCTTCATACTATTGGGTGCTCCAGTGAGTTGGTGCAGCAAGAAGCAGCCAAGTGTGTCACTGTCTACAAGTGAAGCGGAGTACATTGCGCTTGAGTCTGGCGACTCAAGAAGGCAAGTGGATCCACTGCTTACTGTGCAAGATCATGGCGGCTGCTAACGAGTACGGACCCGAGCTCATGATCCGTGAAGACAAATAGCCTTGCATCAAATGACCAAGAATCCGGTTAATCAAGGCCGCGCCAAACGCATTGATATCAAGTACCATCACATTCGCGATGAAGTCAAGCGCGGTGAAGTGAAGCTTGAATACTGCGAAACGACGGTGATGTTGGCCGACATTATGATCGAGGCAATTCACCGACTGCGCCACAAGGAATTAACGGCGGCGCTAGGCATCTGTCCGCGTTTGGATTGAGGGGGCGTGTTGACGGTCATCGGTTTTCTACCAGTACTGGTAACCGCGACCGGTTCAATCCGAACCCCACCGCGGACCGCCTGCTCAGCTTATAATTTACGACGTAATTCTTACGGTAAGTATCCATAGTTGGTCAGACGAGTAGGATGACGAGAAGCTTCACATGATTAATATGTACACCACATATAAATCATGTAGTAAGCAGTAAGCCCCGATAATAAATCACTTTCGAATCTTTTAACTAGTGAGCAAGTGTCTTCTGCTCTGCTCTCGTCAGTCTCTCCGCTCACTTCGATCCGCTCTCTGCCATGCAAAAGGTTATGAGACCAAGCGTCATGTCGTCCACTAACGCATCATCCAACGTCTCCATTGATAAGTTCAATGGAGACAACTATGCGACTAGGAGTCGATATATGCGCAGTGTTTTTGACGAAGTCCGTCTGGCACGTCGTAAATCGTGAAGCGACTCCGACTTTCACCGACCCGCGAGCGTCCGAGATGAATATATCAAGTCGAGCAACGTCGCATTTGGTATGATGCTGCTACACATAAATGCAAATTATCACCATGTGCTTGACAACTACGAAGAAGCGTGGGTTGCGTGGACACCTCTGAAGATGCTGTGCGTTGGGTCGCAGAAGGCAGGACGCATCTTCCTCAAGCGATAACTTTTCAGCATTAAGATGACTGAAGGTGCAGACGTCACGCACCACTGCAAAAAAGTCCTCAACATCTCCGCCAAGCTTAGCGGCATCGGTACGAAGATGGAAGACGAAGACGTTGCAATCTGTCTGCTGCTCTGTCTTTCAAAGAGCTACGAAAATGTGGTGCTCAACAAGAAAACGAGCAGCGCCGAGCTTCGTACCCAAGGTGTGGTGAGAGTGCTGACGAATGAGCACGCCGAGCGTCGAGGAGAAAAAGGGACAACAACAGCGACTACGGTGAAGGCTGAAGGCTGAAGATGCAAGCAAGGCATTCAGCACAGAGCGCGAGCCCTACCAATGCACGCATTGTGGTAAGGTGGAACACACGGTGGATCGTTGCTGGACAAAGCAGAAGAACGAAGGTCGAGGAGCTCGACGCGGTGGCAATGGTCGTGGACGCGGGGCTATAACGTCCAGTGGGTAAACAATGATGAAGGCAATGGCTACGATCGAGTGACGTTTGCAGTCTCGTTCAAGTGTGAAGTTTCGACGAGCAAGGACGTGTCTAGAATATGGGCGTCGATAGTGGTGCAACGCACTACATTTGCCACGACAAGACCAAGTTTGCAAGTTTGGAAGAGCGCAATGAAGGCGACTTTTTGGTGGCTGATGGCAACAAGGTGACCATCATGATGAACTTTAGACTTCTTGGTCCGAGTGCAAAACGCAAAGTGAATATATATTTATAATAGGTACTTAGTTCGCAACTTTGAATACTACCTCTAAGCCTATTATTCGCAGTGACGTCATCCAGTGACGTCACCCACTGACGTCATGCAATGACGTCATCCAGTGACGTCATTTCCTGACTTCGCCCTTACTGGTACATACCGGTACCCACCGGTATAGCGAAGCTTGGTCTTCCACTTGCTTCAACACTTGACGCAGCTTGACGAGGTGTCTTCTTCACAGCCGCTGTCTTTTCAACACTCCCTCTCGACTCGTTAGCTGCGGCACCTTGGATCCCAAGTCGATCGCGAATGTTTTCAAATTGTACAGCGGCGATCGGCTTGGTCATCATGTCTGCCAGCATATCTTGAGTCGGGCAATACTCCAAAACGACTTCACCTGATTCCACCTTCTCACGCACAAAATGGTAGCGTATGTCGATGTGTTTTGTTCTCTTATGGAACTCCGGGTTCTTGGCGAGAGCGATTGATCCTTGGTTGTCTTCATACATCTTGATCGCTTCGTCGCTTGTCATCTCACCAAGTTCCCCCAAAAGCACTTTGAGCCATACTGCTTCTTTGGTTGCTTCGGAAAGCGCCATGTATTCTGCTTCTGTTGAAGATAGCGCGACCGTCCGTTGTTTCTGGCTTTTCCAGCTGATGCATCCTCCGCTCATCATGAACACATAGCCGCTTGTACTTCGTCTTGACTCAATGTCACCGGCCCAGTCTGCGTCGGTGTACCCGCAGATACGGCTTCCTTCTTCACGTGTAAACTCAAGACCACGATTGGGCGTTGCTTGCAGGTATCTCAGCACACGCTTCAAAGCTTGCCAGTGAGTCGGGCATGGGTCGGACGAGAACTGGGATAACGATCCCACTGCAGCAGCTAGATCCGGACGTGTGGCGACCATGAGATACATGATGCCTCCGACAGCACTTCGATATGGCACGTTGCACATGGTGTCTTCGTGCTTGCATTCTTGTTCACACATGTTCTTGGTTAGCTTCAGGCCGGGATCTTGAGGCGTCTTCACTGGCTTGCTGTTATCCATTCCGAACTTTGTTAACACGGACTTGAGAAACTTGGTTTGTTGTACAGTCACCATTCCCGTCTTACGGTCGCTCTTGATCTCCATGCCGAGAAAGTAATCGAGCTCACCGAGATCCGTCATTTCGAAGCGTTTGCTCAGCGCCATCTTGGTTGACTTGAGGAGTTCGTTGTTGCTGCTGGCCAGGATGAGATCATCGACGTAGAGCACCACGAGAATCATGTCTTGGTCGTCTCGCTTGATGTAGATGCAGTGGTCCGATTCGCACTTCTTGAATCCCATCTTGATCATGAACCCATCGATTGTTTGGTTCCACATGCGAGGCGATTGCTTCAAGCCGTAGAGTGATCTCTTTAGCTTGCACACATAGTCCGGCTGTGTTGCATCCAGGTATCCGTCCGGCTGTGTTGCATCCAGGTATCCGTCCGGCTGGTCCATGTAGATGTCTTCGTTGAGGGAGCCGTTAAGAAACGCTGTCTTGACGTCCATCTGATGTAGCATTAGGCCGTACTTGGCCGCCATACTGAGCACCACACGAATCGATGTGAACTTGGCCACCGGTGCGAAAGTTTCTTCATAGTCGACTCCGAATTTCTGTGAGAATCCTTTGGCCACAAGTCTTGCCTTGAAACGTTCAACTTCGCCATCTTGATTCTCCTTTACACGAAAAACCCATCGGCACCCGATGGCCTTGCGACCTTTCGGAAGAGGCACGATTTCCCACGTGTCGTTTCTCTGAAGCGAGTCGAACTCCGAGTCACACGCTTCTTTCCACTTGCCGGAGTCGCTTGATTCCATCGCCGACTTGAATGTAGTCGGCGTTTCCCCCACTGAATCAACGATGTAGGCTGCTTCAAAATCCATTGCAGCCGCTGAAACATGCTCAAGCGACGGACCTCTGTATGTTCTTCGCTTGGGACTTGGAATGACGGTAGCTTTCTCAAGTGATTGAGTGCGCGTGTGTCTCTTGATGTTGCTCTTCGAAGACCTGGTGTCTTCGTTGTCATCGTCGCTCGAGTCCATGTCGTCGTCAGTTTTACCTTCTTCTTTTTGTTCGTCCTCATCATGATCATCAAACTCAACGACACTTGACTCATCGTTGTAGTTGCGCGGACCTTCATCAAACTTGTCTTCCATGAATGTGGCATCGCGACTGATCTTGATCGCTCCTGTTGACACTTCCTCAAATCGATATGACTTCTGGTGTTCGGCGTATCCCAGGAAACGACAGAGTGATGACTTGGAGTCGAACTTCGCGCGTTTGTCTTGAGGCACTTGAACATACGCGTGGCATCCAAACACTTTAAGGTTGGCCAGAATCGGTTTCTTCATCGTCCACACTTGATATGGAGACTTGTCTTGGTGAATGGCACGTGTTGGACAGCGGTTTCGAAGAAACATCGCCGTCATCACTGCTTCACCCCAGTAGCTCTTTCCCAGTCCAGCGTGTTCCATCATGCAACGCGCACACTCGACCAGCGTGCGATTCATTCTCTCAGCTACTCCGTTTAGCTGAGGAGTATATGGGGGTGTGAACCTTTGTTGTATTCCCCGTTCCGCGCAGAATCGTGCCAGCTTGTCGGACTTGTATTCACCCCCATTGTCGCTTTGAAGGTACTTCACGCGCTTTCCGGTTTGCGTTTCGGCCATCGCAGCGTATTCCATGAACTTCGCCGCAACTTCAGATTTGCTCTTGAGCAGATAGACGACACAGTATCTTGACTTGTCATCAATGAATGTCACGAAGTACCGTTTTCCACTGAAAGTTGCCATCGACATCGGTCCGCATACGTCGCTGTGAATCACTTCGAGGAGTTTGGAGGTGCGAGCTGTAGTGTTTGATTGGAAGCGCACTCGAGTTTGTTTTCCCCAGAGCACAACCTTCACACACGTCCCACTTCTTCACCGAAGATATGTCGATGCCAATTCCAATGTTCTTCGTCACGATGCAATTGAGTCCATCGTGACCTATGTGGCCAAGCCGAAGGTGCCAGAGGTACGACTTGGTGCCCCCTTGACATCCCGACGACTTGGCTGCATTTGCTTGTTCCGGCGCCACTGGAGTCATTTGCAGCTTGAACAGTCCTTTACCTTCACGGGCACCAATTTTCCACTTGGTCCCTTTCGCTTCTCCATAGCACCCATCCTTCGTGAACGTCACTGGGCCGACATCCTTGGTGAAGCGGCCGACCGAGAACAGGTTTCTGGATAACTTTGGGATGTGCCACACGTTTGTGAGCACACCTTTCTTCATCCCTTGGGGTGTCTTCATCGACATGACAATGTCCCCACTGCCGATTGCTTGGACGATTCCATCATCCGCGAGATGGACATCCACAGCGTCAAACACCTTGTAGTTCCGCATGAACTTCTTGGAGCACGTCATGTGCTGCGTCGCCCCGGAGTCGACCAGCCAGATGTCGCTCGATTTCGCAGATGTCGTTTCACCGATCGAAAAGAGGTAGTCGCCCGAGTCTTCTTCTTGAGCGACGTTTGCACGTTGTGATCGATAGCGGTCGCCGCTGTCTTGAGCACGCTGTGGCCGGTGTCTCTCCGTGTTTTCTTGGATGCGCGAGGGGCACTCCGCCACCCAGTGACCAATCTTTCCGCAATTGTGGCACGGCCAGGACTTCTTCACTGGTCGCCCTTTGCGCTGATTGTCCCTTGTGATGAACGCTTGACCTTGCGAAGCTTCATCACCTTTACTTCCTTGCTCCTTCTGCTTCATTTCTTCATGAAGCAGTCGAGACGTCACGAGCTCCCAGCTAAGAGTGTCTGAGCGCGACTCCAAAGCTGTGATCAAGAATTGATACGAGTCACTCAGGCTGCCGAGGAGTGTGATCACCAGATCGTCCTCGCAGACTGGAGCCCCCACCGCTTCTAGCTGTTCCGCCAGCGTCTTGAGCTTGTTGATGTGTTCGAGCACATCGTCGCCTTCTTCCATCATTGTCGTGAAGAAGCGACGGCGCAAGAACAGCTTGTTGGCAAGACTCTTCTTCTCGAAGTGGTCTTCCAACCTTGACCATGCGTCGCATGCACCACTTGCCGACCGGACCAACGGTAGCTGGGAATCTTCCATGGCTAGACAGATCACTGCCATCGCCTTTCTTGACTTCCTCTTGTACGTCGCTTGGTCCAACTGAGTCTCGCACTGTTCCGCCTTGATCTCACCGCTGACGACCTCCCATAGGTCCCGTTCCTCCAGCACCATCTGCATCTTGAACTTCCAGGCGTGGAAGTTAGTTCCATCGAACTTGGAGATGCGGAGGGAGGAGAGGCGTCCATGGCAGCTAAGCTTGAATTGTTGGCGGTTTCAGAGTCTGACGAACTTGGGCTCATAACCTGATGAACTTTAGACTTCTTGGTCCGAGTGCAAAACGCAAAGTGAATATATATTTATAATAGGTACTTAGTTCGCAACTTTGAATACTACCTCTAAGCCTATTATTCGCAGTGACGTCATCCAGTGACGTCACCCACTGACGTCACCCACTGACGTCATGCAATGACGTCATCCAGTGACGTCATTTCCTGACTTCGCCCTTACTGGTACATACCGGTACCCACCGGTATAGCGAAGCTTGGTCTTCCAATTGCTTCAACACTTGACGCAGCTTGACGAGGTGTCTTCTTCACAGCCGCTGTCTTTTCAACACATCAAGGGTGTGGGAACCATCATGGAAAAGGTGGTTCTGCCTAACGGTGAAGAGCGCGAGATCGAGATCAAGAACTCGTTATGTGTCCCAAGTATGAGCAAGAACCTGCTTTCGGTGCCACATGTTAACAGGCATGGCAAGTTCCAAGTCATTTTTGACGGGTCCAAGATGTTTGTGACTCGCAAGAACTCACAGAAAGTGGTGGAGACAGCGAATCTCGTGGATGGACTTCACTGGCTTCGTACAACTCAACGATCAGCGAATGTGACAGCACGTGGAACCAGCTGTGCTGATCTACATGCGCGAATGGGTCACGCTCCACTCGACGTACTTCGCAAGATGGTCATGACCAACATGATCAAGGATATTATTGTCCCTCTTAAGTCGAATGGAGCAACTGCATGTCGAGGGTGCCAACAAGGGAAAATGGTCCAAAAACCATTCCCAAGCAAACGCGACAAGCGTAACTACGATACGTTCGAGCTGATTCACCTGGACATATGGGGCCCATGGAAAACGATTCGCTCGGTGCCAGCAGATATTTGCTACTGATCGTAGACGAAGCCAGTGGATGTATGAAGGGCTTGTCTTTACGAGTGGAGTCCGAGAGTGAAGACTACATCCGTAAGTACATCACTATGGTACAGACGCAGTTCAGTAAGTATTGAGGGTTACCGGTACAATCCGAACCTAGCGCGTAGTTCTTACGAGATAGTTTTTACATCGGTAATTACCTCAGAGATGATTAGACGCGTAGGATGATTGGACGCGTGTAAATCAGGTTGATTAGATGCACCATGTGATTGGATGCAGTCTAGGGTAGGCAGAAGTTAAGACCTATAAATCAATCACTTTCGAATCCTCCCTCAAGTGAGCAAGTGTTCTCTGCTTCGGTCTCTCCGGTCTCTCCGCTTCGTTTTCTCTTCACCTCGCGCTCAAGTTACAACAGTAAGAAGGTCAAGTCTGTGCGACAAGACGGACCCGCGAGTTCGCAACCAACTCGCTTCGTATTTTCTACGAAGACAAAGGCATTGAACAGCAGACAACGCTTCCATGTAAACGTCAAACCGACGGAACAGCAGAGCGTGCCATTAGGACTATCGTCACGATCGGCCGCAGCATGCTTCATCATGCCAAACTGAACAAGTGTTTCTGAGCTGAAAGCAGAGATGACGTCCAACTACGTCAAGAATCGACTGCCGTCACCTAGAGTCGTACACAAGACCCCGTTTGAGATTGCCTACAACTTGAAACCAAGCGTCAAGCACACGCGAGTATTTGGGTGTCAGACGTACATACTGACGCCAAAGGAGAAGCGACTCAAGTGGGATGCCAAGGCTCGTGCAGGTGTTTTCGTGGGATACGAAGAAGTTTTAAAAGCGTATCGAGTTTACGACATCGAGACAGGACAAGTGGTTATCAGTCGCGATGTCACCTTTGACGAGTCCACCTTTGGACTTCCGCTGCTGATCACTGATGAAGATGCCGATGACCTGGACTTCGAATTGCTTGACCTCAATGATGAAGAGCCGCGTCTGGTGGAGTACAAGCAAACAGGCAAGCGCAAAAACCGCCTCAGTGATGAAGATACAGCAGCTCCACGACCGCGTGCAGTGCGTCAACGAACAGGACTAGAAAAGTCAAGCGCGCCGGAAAGCAACTCGTCACGCCAAGAAGAAGACGAAGAAACGAAGGATTCTGATGAATCAACTCCGCCTGTGTTTTGTTGTGCGAGTGCGAATGCCGTTGAAACAGCAGCGGACTTATCGGAGCCCTCAACATTTGAGGCGGCAGTGAGCGGCCTTGACCAAGTTTATTGGTCAAGCTATTCATGCAGAGCTCGAGTCAACGCGACTTCGCAGTGTGTTTTGTGCCGCCAAGCTTCCCAACGGACAACGTGCCATTGTCACAAAGTGGGTGTTCAAGATCAAGCTCAAGGCGGGTGGGTCAATTGAGAAGTACAAGGAACGACTTGTGGCCAGGGGCTCTCGCCGAAAGTATGGCATCGACTACACGGATACATTTTCGCCTGTGTATTGTGTGTTGACGGTTGAGGTACTGCTATCAGCTACCATGGGAACCGTAAACCTGTCCAAGTCGATCCCGCGTAATTACGGTGAGTTTTAACCAATGATTAGACGCATAGGATGATTGGATGACCTACATGATTTATGATTCATGATTTAAATGTGGACAACATATAAATCAGTGCAGAGATAAATCAGGTAGCTCAAGCAAACCCACAAATAAAGTCACTTCCAAATATTCCTTCTCCTACACAAGTCGTCGTCACTTCGCAGTGTAGACTTCTTTCAAGCCTTTCAAGCTTCGTTCTCTCGCCCAGTGCTCTTCAGACTTTAACAGGTTATGAGCCCAAGCACGATGTCCTCTGCTCAAGATTTCGCCACCAAGATCTCTATCGATAGATTCGATGGAGACAACTACGCGACGTGGAGCCGCCACATGCGTGGCGTGTTCCTGACCAAGTCGACGTGGCACGTGGTCAACCGGGAGACCATCCCCACCTTCGCCGATCCTCGCGCCAGTGATGAGTACGTCAAAACGAAAAACATTGCGTTCGGCTTTGATGTTACTTCACATGAGCGCGGACTATCATCACATGGTTGATGACTGCGACGAGGCATGGGTTGCGTGGACACGGTTGAAGACTCTCTACGGCGGATCGCAGAAGGCGGGACGGATCTTCTTGAAGCGGGAGCTGTTCAGCATGGAGATGGCGGAAGGCGGCAATGTAATGCATCATTGCAATGAAGTTCTCAACATCAGCGCCAAGCTCAGCAGCATCAGCGCCAAGCTCAGCAGCATCGGCGCCAAGATGGAGGATGAGGACGTGGCGATCTGCTTGTTGTGCAGCCTCTCCAAGAGCTACGAGAACGTCGTGCTGAACTTGGAGATGAGCAGCGCGGAACTGCAATCGCGAGACGTCGTGAGAGTGCTCACGAATGAGCACATCAAGAGACAAGGTGACAAGACGACATCGGTGAAAACTGAAGAAGCAACCAAGGCCTTCAGTACCGAGCGTGAGGTTCGTCAGTGTACGTTCTGCGGAAAATTGGGGCACACGGTGGAAAAGTGGGCGATTGTCAGCGGTGCAACACCACACATCTGCTATGACAAGTCCAAGTTCGAATTTCTGGACGAGCGCAATGAAGGTGAAGTGTTGGTTGCAGATGGGAACAAGGCTGCGATCAACGGTGTCGGGACAATCATCGAAAAGGTGACCCTGTCCAACGGTGAAGAGCGCGAAGTCGAGATCAAGAACGCGCTTTACGTCCCAAGCATGAACAAAAACTTGCTTTCGATACCACAAATCAACAGAAGCGGCAAGTTTCAAGTGGTGTTTGATGGTGACAAGATGAAGATTTGCACAAAGGATCCAAGCAAGTAATAGCGATGGCCGATCTTGTGGATGGCCTCTACTGGCTTCGTACATCCCAACGATCGGTGAATGCGGCTTCAGGACCAAGAGTCGAAAGCCTGCATGCGCGTATGGGCCACGCACCGATTGATGTCTTGTGCAGAATGATCTCCAAGGGCATGATCAAGGATGCCAAGAAGCCAGCAAAATTGAGCGGATCAAGCGTGTGCCAAGGTTGTCTAGAAGGAAAAATGGTTCAACGACCGTTCCCGAGCAATCCAAACAAGCGCCATTACGATCCGTTTTAGCTTCTACACATCGACACTTGTGGTCCAATGGAAGTCGACTCGCTAGGTGGAAGCAAGTACTTGCTACTGATCGTCGATGAAGGCAGCGGATGTATGAAGGGTTTTAGTCTGCGCGCCAAGTCCGACAGCGAAGAGTGCATCAAGAAGTACATCATGGCAGTACAGACGCAGTTTGACTACAAGGTCAAGTTCGTTCGACACGATGGTGCACGAGAATTTGCGGCGAATTCGCTCAAGGCATTTTACGATGATCAAGGAATCGAGCAGCAAGTTACCGTTCCGTATGCGCATCAGACCAACGGCACGGCGGAACGGGCAATTCGAACTATTGTGACGATCGGGCGCAGCATGCTTTACTACGCCAAGCTGGACAAGTGTTTTTGGGCTATAGCAGCAATGGTGGCGATCTACATCAAGAATCGCCTACCATCGCCCAAGTACCAAGATCAAACCCCGTTCGAGATCGTCAACGGATTTCGACCAAGTGTGAAGCACATGCGGGTTTTCAGCTGCCGAACGTTTGTGCTGACCCCTAAGGAAAAGAGGTCGAAATGGGATCCTAAGGCTCGTGAAGGACTATTCATGGGGTACGAAGAAGTGTCTAAGGCACATCGCGTTTACGACATTGAAGCGGACCAAGTGGTGAAATCTCGCGATTTCACATTCGACGAATCAACGTTTGGTTTCTCGCCGATGCTACCACAAGTAATTGTTGATGACACTGCGCTGGATATCGAATCGATGAACATCAGCGATGAGCCTCACCCCATGCAGTTCAAGCAAACTGGAAAACGCAAAAGCCGTTCAAACAGTCAAGAACAAGTTCTACAACGGACACTTCTTGAGCGTCGTGGAACCGGATTAGAAGAAGCAAGTGCCCCGGATGACTCTGAATCGCACCAAGCGAAGCGACGATCAAGCGCTCGAGACAATCTGGACGAAGAGCAAAAGGGCAGTGACGAAGATAACGAGGATGCTACACCTCAAGTCTTTTGGCGAGCGAGTGCCAATGCAGTCGAAGGTACTGACTTGTCTGAGCCGACAACGTTTGGAGATGCTGTTGGTGGACCAGATCAAGTGCATTGGCGTAAGGCAATCTGTGCCGAGTTGGACTCGATGAAACTTCGTGGCGTGTTTCGAGCGACCAAACTGCCGTCTGGACAGCATACCATTGGCACCAAGTGGGTATTCAAGATCAAACGGAAAGCTGACGGATCCATCGAGAAATACAAGGCGCGCCTCGTGGCAAAAGGGTTCAAGCAGAAATATGGCATCGACTACACGGAAACGTTTTCGCCGGTAGTCAAGTACGTGACGCTGCGCATGGTGGTTGCAATCACGAAGTACTTTGGCTGGACACTGGACCAACTGGACGTGGTGACAGCTTTCCTTTACGGAGAAATGAAGGAAAAGGTATTCTGCGCGATCCCAGAAGGAGTCGAAGTTGATGAAGACTTTGACTGCTTTGAACTGGTCAAGGCGATCTACGGACTAAAACAAGCATCGCGCGTATGGAACGAGACTTTTCATGAGTTCGTCTGCTCCATTGGATTTCAAGTCTCCGATTTTGACCCGTGTCTTTATCTCAAGATTACAAGTGGCGAGTGCGTGCTTTTGCTGGTATACGTCGATGATGTGTTGTGACTGGCAGCTCGACCGAACTGATTATGCGCACCAAGAGTGACTTAAAGGCGCGTTTCGAAATGACCGACAGTGGGAAGTGCGCATTCGTGTTGGGCATCGAGCTGGTAGACAACGACGACGGTAGCGTGACGATGTGCCAGCGACGCTACGTGGAAGATGTTCTCAAGCGTTTTGGCACGAGCGACTGCAAAGCCGTCACCAGCCCAACAGACATCAGTTCTCGAATCACACCAAGCACCGCAACAACCAAAATCCATGCCCCGTTTCGTGAAGCAGTAGGCGCTCTGATGCACTTGATGACCGCGACACGACCGGACATTGCCTTTGCTGTGAGTTACGTTTCGCGCTTCATGGAGAACCCCCAAGTCGAGCATTGGATGGCGGTCAAGCGCATTTTGCGATACTTACAAGGGACTAAGTCGCACGGTATCTGCTTCAAGCCTGATGACAAGATAGACTTTTGTGGCTACTCGGATGCAGACTGGGCCGGCGACCATGCAGACCGCAAGTCGACTTCAGGATACGCGTTTATCCTGATGGGTGCTCCGGTGAGCTGGGGAAGCAAAAAGAAGTCAAGTGTGTTGCTGTCAACAAGTGAAGCTGAGTACATTGCACTAAGTCTGGCGATTCAAGAAGGCAAGTGGGTGCATCGATTGCTGTGCGAGATTCTGGATACCGCAGAGGACAAGTCTGGACCCGAGCTCAAGATCATGGAAGACAACCAGTCGTGCATCAAGATGACGAAGAATCCGGTGAACCATGGTCGGGCCAAGTACATCGACATCAAGTACCACCACATTCGTGATGAAGTCAAGCGTGGTGATGTCAAGTTGGAGTACTGTGAGACTACGATCATGTTGGCGGACATCATGACGAAGGGACTGCCAGGACCGCGTCACAAGGACTTGACGGCAGCGCTCGGCATACACGCGTGTTCGCATTGAGGGGGCGTATTGTGGGTTGACGGTTGAGGTACTGCTATCAGCTACCATGGGAACCGTAAACCTGTCCAAGTCGATCCCGCGTAATTACGGTGAGTTTTTACCAATGATTAGACGCATAGGATGATTGGATGATCTACATGATTTATGATTCATGATTTATATGTGGACAACATATAAATCAGTGCAGAGATAAATCAGGTAGCTTTAACAAAAACCCACAAATCAATTCACTTCCAAATATTCCTTCTTCAGCACAAGTCGTCTACACTTCGCAGTGCAGATTTCTTCAGCGTTCTTCAAGCTTCGTTCTCTCGTCCAGTGCTCTTCAGACTTTAACACCGCGGTCATCAAGTGTATTAAAGCGCCTACTGCTTCACGAAACGGGGCATGGATTTTGGTTGTTGCGGTACTTGGTATGAGTCGAGAACTGATGTCTGTTGGGCTGGTGACGGCTTTGCAGTCGCTCATGCCAAAACGCTTGAGAACATCTTCCACGTAGCGTCGCTGGCACATCGTCACGCTACCGTCGTCGTTGTATACCAGCTCGATGCCCAACACGAATGCGCACTTCCCACTGTCGGTCATTTCGAAACGCGCCTTTAAGTCACTCTTGGTGCGCATAATCAGTTCGGTCGAGCTGCCAGTCACAACACATCATCGACGTATACCAGCAAAAGCACGCACTCGCCACTTGTAATCTTGAGATAAAGACACGGGTCAAAATCGGAGACTTGAAATCCAATGGAGCAGACGAACTCATGAAAAGTCTCGTTCCATACGCGCGATGCTTGTTTTAGTCCGTAGATCGCCTTGACCAGTTCAAAGCAGTCAAAGTCTTCATCAACTTCGACTCCTTCTGGGATCGCGCAGAATACCTTTTCCTTCATTTCTCCGTAAAGGAAAGCTGTCACCACGTCCAGTTGGTCCAGTGTCCAGCCAAAGTACTTCGTGATTGCAACCACCATGCGCAGCGTCACGTACTTGACTACCGGCGAAAACGTTTCCGTGTAGTCGATGCCATATTTCTGCTTGAACCCTTTTGCCACGAGGCGCGCCTTGTATTTCTCGATGGATCCGTCAGCTTTCCGTTTGATCTTGAATACCCACTTGGTGCCAATGGTATGCTGTCCAGACGGCAGTTTGGTCGCTCGAAACACGCCACGAAGTTTCATCGAGTCCAACTCGGCACAGATTGCCTTACGCCAATGCACTTGATCTGGTCCACCAACAGCACCTCCAAACGTTGTCGGCTCAGACAAGTCAGTACCTTCGACTGCATTGGCACTCGCTCGCCAAAAGACTTGAGGTGTAGCATCCTCGTTATCTTCGTCACTGCCCTTTTGCTCTTCGTCCAGATTGTCTCGAGCGCTTGATCGTCGCTTCGCTTGGTGCGATTCAGAGTCATCCGGGGCACTTGCTTCTTCTAACCCGGTTCCACGACGCTCAAGAAGTGTCCGTTGTGGGGCTTGTTCTTGGCTGTTTGAACGGCTTTTGCGTTTTCCAGTTTGCTTGAACTGCATGGGGTGAGGCTCATCGCTGATGTTCATCGATTCGATATCCAGCGCAGTGTCATCAACAATTTCTTGTGGTAGCCTCGGCGAGAAACCTAGCGTTGATTCGTCGAATGTGACATCGCGAGATATCACCACTTGGTCCGCTTCAATGTCGTAAACGCGATATGCCTTTGACCCTTCTTCGTACCCCATGAATAGTCCTTCACGAGCCTTCGGATCCCATTTCGATCTCTTTTCCTTAGGGGTCAGCACAAACGTTCGGCAGCCGAAAACCCGCATGTGCTTCACACTTGGTCGAAATCCGTTGACGATCTCGAACGGGGTTTGATCTTGGCACTTGGGCGATGGTAGGCGATTCTTGATGTAGATTGCCGTCATTGCTGCTTCAGCCCAAAAACACTTGTCCAGCTTGGCGTAGTGAAGCATGCTGCGCCCGATCGTCACAGTAGTTCGAATTGCCCGTTCCGCCGTGCCGTTGGTCTGATGCGCATACGGAACGGTAACTTGCTGCTCGATTCCTTGATCATCGTAAAATGCCTTGAGCGAATTCGCCGCAAATTCTCGTGCACCATCGTGTCGAACGAACTTGACCTTGTAGTCAAACTGCGTCTGTACTGCCATGATGTACTTCTTGATGCACTCTTCGCTGTCGGACTTGGCGCGCAGACTGAAACCCTTCATACATCCGCTGCCTTCATCGACGATCAGCAGCAAGTACTTGCTTCCACCTAGCGAGTCGACTTCCATTGGACCACAAGTGTCGATGTGTAGAAGCTCAAACGGATCGTAGTGGCGCTTGTTTGGATTGCTCGGGAACGGTCGCTGAACCATTTTTCCTTCTAGACAACCTTGACACACGCTTGATCCGCTCAATTTTTCTGGCTTCTTGGCATCCTTGATCATGCCCTTGGAGATCATTCTGCACAAGACATCAATCGGTGCGTGGCCCATACGCGCATGCAGGCTTTCGACTCTTGGTCCTGAAGCCGCATTCACCGATCGTTGGGATGTACGAAGCCAGTAGAGGCCATCCACAAGATCGGCCATCGCCATTACTTGCTTGGAGCCTTTGTGCAAATCTTCATCTTGTCACCATCAAACACCACTTGAAACTTGCCGCTTCTGTTGATTTGTGGTATCGAAAGCAAGTTTTTGTTCATGCTTGGGACGTAAAGCGCGTTCTTGATCTCGACTTCGCGCTCTTCACCGTTGGACAGGGTCACCTTTTCGATGATTGTCCCGACACCGTTGATCGCAGCCTTGTTCCCATCTGCAACCAACACTTCACCTTCATTGCGCTCGTCCAGAAATTCGAACTTGGACTTGTCATAGCAGATGTGATGTGTTGCACCGCTATCAATCGCCCACATTCCAGACATGCTCTTGGTCGTTGAAAGTTCGCATTCCAGCGAAACAGCAAACGCCACTCGATCATAGTCACAGTTGCTGTTGCCGTTGTAGCCTTGCCACTGAACTTGATTCGCTCCGCGTCCACGGGTATTGCCGCCGCGTCGAGCTCCCCGATTGTCTTCCTTCTGCTTGGTCCAGCACTTCTCCACTGTGTGCCCCAATTTTCCACAGAACGTACACTGACGAACCTCACGCTCGGTACTGAAGGCCTTGGTTGCTTCTTCAGTTTTCACCGATGTCGTCTTGTCACCTTGTCTCTTGATGTGCTCATTCGTCAGCACTTTCACGACGTCTTGCGTCCGCAGTTCCGCGCTGCTCATCTCCAAGTTCAGCACGACGTTCTCGTAGCTCTTGGGGAGGCTGCACAACAAGCAGATCGCCACGTCCTCATCCTCCATCTTGGCGCCGATGCTGCTGAGCTTGGCGCTGATGTTGAGAACTTCATTGCAATGATGCATCACATTGCCGCCTTCCGCCATCTCCATGCTGAACAGCTGCCGCTTCAAGAAGATCCGTCCCGCCTTCTGCGATCCGCCGTAGAGAGTCTTCAACCGTGTCCACGCAACCCATGCCTCGTCGCAGTCATCAACCACGTGATGATAGTCCGCGCTCATGTGAAGTAACATCAAGCCGAACGCAATGTTGTTCGTCTTGACGTACTCATCACTGGCGCGAGGATCGGCGAAGGTGGGGGTGGTCTCCCGGTTGACCACGTGCCACGTCGACTTGGTCAGGAACACGCCACGCATGTAGCGGCTCCACGTCGCGTAGTTGTCTCCATCGAATCTATCGATAGAGATCTTGGTGGCGGAATCTTGAGCAGAGGACATCGTGTTTGGGCTCATAACCTGTTAAAGTCTGAAGAGCACTGGACGAGAGAACGAAGCTTGAAAGGCTTGAAAGAAGTCTGCACTGCGAAGTGTAGACGACTTGTGCTGAAGAAGGAATATTTGGAAGTGAATTTATTTGTGGGTTTTGTTAAAGCTACCTGATTTATCTCTGCACTGTTTTTTATGTTGTCCACATATAAATCATGAATCATAAATCATGTAGATCATCCAATCATCCTATGCGTCTAATCATTGGTAAAAACTCACCGTAATTACGCGGGATCGACTTGGACAGGTTTACGGTTCCCATGGTAGCTGATAGCAGTACCTCAACCGTTAACCCACAATAAGAGCAAAAGGGCAGTGACGAAGATAACGAGTATGCTACACCTCAAGTCTTTTGGCGAGCGAGTGCCAATGCAGTCGAAGGTACTGACTTGTCTGAGCCGACAACGTTTAAAGATGCTGTTGGTGGACCAGATCAAGTGCATTGGTGTAAAGCAATCTGTGCCGAGTTGGACTCGATGAAACTTCGTGGCGTGTTTCGAGCGACCAAACTGCCGTCTGGACAGCATACCATTGGCACCAAGTGGGTATTCAAGATCAAACGGAAAGCTGATGGATCCATCGAGAAATACAAGGCGCGCCTCGTGGCAAAAGGGTTCAAGCAGAAATATGGCATCGACTACAAGGAGACGTTTTCGCCGGTAGTCAAGTACGTGACGCTGCGCATGGTGGTTGCAATCACGAAGTACTTTGGCTGGACACTGGACCAACTGGACGTGGTGACAGCTTTCCTTTACGGAGAAATGAAGGAAAAGGTATTCTGCTCGATCCCAGAAGGAGTCGAAGTTGATGAAGACTTTGACTGCTTTGAACTGGTCAAGGCGATCTACGGACTAAAACAAGCATCGCGCGTATGGAACGAGACTTTTCATGAGTTCGTCTGCTCCATTGGATTTCAAGTCTCCGATTTTGACCCGTGTCTTTATCTCAAGATTACAAGTGGCGAGTGCGTGCTTTTGCTGGTATACGTCGATGATGTGTTGGTGACTGGCAGATCAACCGAACTGATTATGCGCACCAAGAGTGACTTAAAGGCGCGTTTCGAAATGACCGACAGTGGGAAGCGCGCATTCGTGTTGGGCATCGAGCTGGTAGACAACGACAACGGTAGCGTGACGATGTGCCAACGACGCTACGTGGAAGATGTTCTCAAGCGTTTTGGCACGAGCGACTGCAAAGCCGTCACCAGCCCAACAGACATCAGTTCTCGACTCATACCAAGCACCGCAACAACCAAAATCCATGCCCCGTTTCGTGAAGCAGTAGGCGCTCTGATGCACTTGATGACCGCGACACGACCGGACATTGCCTTTGCTGTGAGTTACGTTTCGCGCTTCATGGAGAACCCCCAAGTCGAGCATTGGATGGCGGTCAAGCGCATTTTGCGATACTTACAAGGGACTAAGTCGCACGGTATCTGCTTCAAGCCTGATGACAAGATAGACTTTTGTGGCTACTCGGATGCAGACTGGGCCGGCGACCATGCAGACCGCAAGTCGACTTCAGGATATGCGTTTATCCTGATGGGTGCTCCGGTGAGCTGGGGAAGCAAAAAGCAGTCAAGTGTGTTGCTGTCAACAAGTGAAGCTGAGTACATTGCACTAAGTCTGGCGATTCAAGAAGGCAAGTGGGTGCATCGATTGCTGTGCGAGATCCTGGATGCCGCAGAGGGAAATTCTGGACCCGAGCTCAAGAACATGGACGACAACCAGTCGTGCATCAAGATGACGAAGAATCCGGTGAACCATGGTCGAGCCAAGCACATCGACATCAAGTACCATCACATTCGTGATGAAGTCAAGCGTGGTGATGTCAAGTTGGAGTACTGTGAGACTACGACTATGTTGGCGGACATCATGACGAAGGGACTGCCAGGACCGCGTCACAAGGACTTGACGGCAGCGCTCAGCATACACGCGTGTTCGCATTGAGGGGGCGTATTGTGGGTTGACGGTTGAGGTACTGCTATCAGCTACCATGGGAGCCGTAAACCTGTCCAAGTCGATCCCGCGTAATTACGGTGAGTTTTCACCAATGATTAGACGCATAGGATGATTGGATGACCTACATGATTTATGATTCATGATTTATATGTGGACAACATATAAATCAGTGCAGAGATAAATCAGGTAGCTTTAACAAAACCCACAAATAAATTCACCTCCAAATATTCCTTCTCCTACACAAGTCGTCCTCACTTCGCAGTGTAGACTTCTTTCAAGCTCTTTAAGCTTCGTTCTCTCGCCCAGTGCTCTTCAGACTTTAACACTGTGGTCAGTATGTGACACTCAATGGTATCGCAATTTCAAGCACTTTGGATGGCCCATCGACCAGCTTGATGTGGTGACGGCTTTCCTGTATAGCTTCATGAGGAACAGTGTTCCATGTGATTCCTGAAGGGTTGAACTTGATAGTACATTCGACTGCCTGGAATCGGTGAAGTCAATTTGCGGCCTCAAGCAAGCGTCTCGAGTGTGGAATGCGACATTCGACGAGTTTGTGTACTCCATTGGATTTCAAGTATCGGACTTCGACCCATGTCTCTACTTCAAGACGTCGGTTGGCCATTGTGTGTTTGTACTGGTCTACGTGGACGACGTTTTGGTGACTGGAAGCTCGCTCGAGCTAATAGCACGATCCAAGAACGACCTGAAGACACGATTCGAGATGACAGACAGCGACAAGTGTGCATTTGCTCTTGGGATCGAGATTCTGGACGGTGAAGACGGCAGTGTGACTCTGTGTCAGCGCCGTTATGTCAATGATACCTCAAGTGCTTTGGATTGGAGGAGTGCAAGGCTGTGGCGAGTCCTGTGGATGTCAGCTCTCGAATGATGTCAAGCAACACTGCGAGCAAGATCGATGTTCCATTCCGTGAAGCTGTTGGTGCTTTGATGCATCTGACGACTACAACAAGGCCGGACATCGCCTATGCTGTGAGCTTTGTGTCGCGCTTCATGGAGAATCCCCAAGAAGAACACTGGGTTGCGGTCAAGCGCTTCTTTCGATACCTGGAGAATCCCCAAGAAGAACACTGGGTCACGGTCAAGCTCATTATTTGATACCTACAAGGCACCAAGATGCATGGAATTTGCTACAAGCCAAGTGTGAAGATCGACTTTCGTGGTTATTCGGACGCAGACTGGTCCGGCGACCTTACTGATCACAAGTCAACGTCTGGCTACGTCTTCATACTATTGGGTGCTCCAGTGAGTTGGTGCAGCAAGAAGCAGCCAAGTGTGTCACTGTCTACAAGTGAAGCGGAGTACATTGCGCTTGAGTCTGGCGACTCAAGAAGGCAAGTGGATCCACTGCTTACTATGCAAGATCATGGCGGCTGCTAACGAGTACGGACCCGAGCTCATGATCCGTGAAGACAAATAGCCTTGCATCAAATGACCAAGAATCCGGTTAATCAAGGCCGCGCCAAACGCATTGATATCACATACCATCACATTCGCGATGAAGTCAAGCGCGGTGAAGTGAAGCTTGAATACTGCAAGACGAAGGTGATGATGGCCGACATTATGATCGAGGCAATTCGCCGACTGAACCACAAGGAATTAACGGCGGCGCTAGACATCTGTCCACGTTCGGATTGAAGGGGCGTGTTGGCGGTCATCGGTTTTCTACCAGTACTGGTAACCGCGACCGGTTCAATCCGAACCCCACTGCAAACCGCCTGCTCAGCTTATTATTTACGACGTAATTCTTACGGTAAGTATCCATAGTTGGTCAGACGTGTAGGATGACGAGAAGCTTCACATGATTTATATGTACACCACATATAAATAATGTAGTAAGCAGTAAGCCCCGATAATAAATCACTTTCGAATCTTTTAACTAGTGAGCAAGTGTCTTCTGCTCTGCTCTCGTCAGTCTCTCCGCTCACTTCGATCCGCTCTCTGCCATGCAAAAGGTTATGAGACCAAGCGTCATGTCGTCCACTAACGCATCATCCAACGTCTCCATTGATAAGTTCAATGGAGACAACTATGCGACTAGGAGTCGATATATGCGCAGTGTTTTTGACGAAGTCCGTCTGGCACGTCGTAAATCGTGAAGCGACTCCGACTTTCACCGACCCGCGAGCGTCCGAGATGAATATATCAAGTCGAGCAACGTCGCATTTGGTATGATGCTGCTACACATAAATGCAAATTATCACCATGTGCTTGACAACTACGAAGAAGCGTGGGTTGCGTGGACACCTCTGAAGATGCTGTGCGTTGGGTCGCAGAAGGCAGGACGCATCTTCCTCAAGCGACAACTTTTCAGCATTAAGATGACTGAAGGTGCAGACGTCACGCACCACTGCAAAAAAGTCATCAACATCTCCGCCAAGCTTAGCGGCATCGGTACGAAGATGGAAGACGAAGACGTTGCAATCTGTCTGCTGCTCTGTCTTTCAAAGAGCTACGAAAATGTGGTGCTCAACAAGAAAACGAGCAGCGCCGAGCTTCGTACCCAAGGTGTGGTGAGAGTGCTGACGAATGAGCACGCCGAGCGTCGAGGAGAAAAAGGGACAACAACAGCGACTACGGTGAAGGCTGAAGGCTGAAGATGCAAGCAAGGCATTCAGCACAGAGCGCGAGCCCTACCAATGCACGCATTGTGGTAAGGTGTAACACACGGTGGATCGTTGCTGGACAAAGCAGAAGAACGAAGGTCGAGGAGCTCGACGCGGTGGCAATGGTCGTGGACGCGGGGCTATAACGTCCAGTGGGTAAACAATGATGAAGTTAATGGCTACGATCGAGTGACGTTTGCAGTCTCGTTCAAGTGTGGGGTTTCGACGAGCAAGGACGTGTCTAGAATGTGGGCCGTCGACAGTGATGCAACGCACTACATTTGCCACGACACGACTAAGTTTGCAAGTTTGCAGAGCGCAGTGAGGGTGCATTATTGGCGGCTGATGGCAACAAGGTGACCATAAAGGGTGTGGGAACCATCGTGGAAAAGGTGGTTCTGCCTAACGGTGAAGAGCGCGAGATCGAGATCGAAAACTCGTTATGTGTCCCAAGTATGAGCAAGAACCTGCTTTCGGTGCCACATGTTAACAGGCATGGCAAGTTCCAAGTCATTTTTGACGGGTCCAAGATGTTTGTGACTCGCAAGAACTCACAGAAAGTGGTGGAGACAGCAGATCTCGTGGATGGACTTCACTGGCTTCGTACGACTCAGCGATCAGCAAATGTGACATTAAGTGGAAACAGCTGTGCTGATCTACATGCGCGAATGGGTCACGCTCCACTCGACGTACTTCGCAAGATGATCAAGAACAACGTAATCAAGGATATTCGAGTCCATTTTAAGTCGGGTGGAACAATTGTATGTCGAGGGTGTCAACAAGGGAAAATGGTCCGAAAACCATTATCGAGCAAACGCGACAAGCGTAACTAAAAATCGTTCGAGCTGCTTCATCAGGACATCTGTGGGCCCATGAAAAACGATTCGCTCGGTGCCAGCAGATATTTGCTACTGATCGTAGACGAAGCCAGTGGATGTATGAAGGGCTTGTCTTTACGAGTGGAGTCCGAGAGTGAAGACTACATCTGTAAGTACATCACTATGGTACAGACGCAGTTCAGTAAGAAGGTCAAGTCTGTGCGACAAGACGGACCCGCGAGTTCGCAACCAACTCGCTTCGTATTTTCTACGAAGACAAAGACATTGAACAGCAGACAACGCTTCCATGTAAACGTCAAACCGACGGAACAGCAGAGCGTGCCATTAGGACTATCGTCACGATCGGCCGCAGCATGTTTCATCATGCCAAACTGAACAAGTGTTTCTGAGCTGAAAGCAGAGATGACGGCCATCTACGTCAAGAATCGACTGCCGTCACCTAGAGTCGTACACAAGACCCCGTTTGAGATTGCCTACAACTTGAAACCAAGCGTCAAGCACACGCGAGCATTCGGGTGTCAGACGTACATACTGACGCCAAAGGAGAATCGACTCACGTGGGATCCAAAGGCTCGCGCTGGCATATTCGTGGGTTACGAATATGTCGAAGGCGTATCGAGTTTATGACATCAAGGCGGTGAAGGTGGTTATCAGTCGCGATGTCAGCTTCGACGAGTCCACCTTTGGACTTCCGCTGCTGATCACTGATGAAGATGCCGATGACCTGGACTTCGAATTGCTTGACCTCAATGATGAAGAGCCGCGTCTGATGGAGTACAAGCAAACAGGCAAGCGCAAAAACCGCCTCAGTGATGAAGATACAGCATCTCCACGACCGCGTGCAGTGCGTCAACGACCCGGACTAGAAAAGTCAAGCGCGCCGGAAAGCAACTCGTCACGCCAAGAAGAAGACGAAGAAACGAAGGATTCTGATGAATCAACTCCGCCTGTGTTTTGTTGTGCGAGTGCGAATGCCGTTGAAACAGCAGCGGACTTATCGGAGCCCTCAACATTTGAGGCGGCAGTGAGCGGCCTTGACCAAGTTTATTGGTCAAGCTATTCATGCAGAGCTCGAGTCAACGCGACTTCGCAGTGTGTTTTGTGCCGCCAAGCTTCCCAACGGACAACGCGCCATTGGCACAAAATGGGTGTTCAAGATCAAGCTCAAGGCGGGTGGGTCAATCGAGAAGTACTAGGCACGACTTGTGGCCAAGGGCTTTAGCCAAAAGTATGGCATCGACTGCACGGAGACATTTTCGCTCGTGGTCAAACATGTGACACTGCGAATGGTGATCGCAATTTCCAAGCACTTTGGATGGCCCATCGACCAGCTCGATGTGGTGACGGCTTTTCTGTACGGCTTCATTGATGGACAAGTGTTCTGTGTGATTCCTGAAGGCGTTGAACCTGATAGTACGTTCGACTGCCTTGAATTGGTGAAGTCAATTTGCGGCTATTGTGGGTTAACGGTTGAGGTACTGCTATCAGCTACCATGGGAACCGTAAACCTGTCCAAGTCGAT